TCAGGGTCAGGTAGCACGCGATCAAAAAATTGTGTCAGCTGATGACACAACGTCAAAATAGCTCTCAACTCCACTAGCGTTCCGAGCAACGATTGCAACTTGGAGCACATATTATCAAAGAACTCGTGCACAGTAGGCCAACGATGAGAAAAATCGTAAAGACACCACATCTTTTGTCTTGCAAGTTCACGACAAAGGCAACGGAACTTGATTGCTCCTGTTCCCAGTGGTTCACGAGCATCATCTCGAGGATGCCATACTTGAAAAGCTGTTGATGTATTCCACCAAACCGGATTGAAAAGTGCATACTAAAGCTTTTTTGCCTTGGTGTACCGGAGTTCACAGGTCGAAGACCTGTGCTTGGTCCCGGCAAAAAACTTGTAACTTTCCAAAACCGGGTACCAAACCGGGTCTCTCTTTTTTAATTGTAATGTTTAAGCTAATATCTGCCGGAATCGGGTACCCGTCGATAAATGCTAAGATTTATGCACATTATTTACCAAAGGTTGATACTAATCGTTCATTCTTTACCAAAACCTGCGTTCAAACACTTACGGACGCTCCAGTACACTATGAGCGTCATGGCCTCGCTGAAGGCGTATCAATTTGCGCCATAATCGACCAAGCTTAACTGAAGATGACCAATATGACTTGTCTAGCTGCAGGCTGCATTTTTTACATGTCAATTTGCTCAATACTCAATCACTTAGCCGAAGATGCCCAACCTCGTGTCTCTCGCCAAACCAACCAGCTCAACTCGACAGTGACACGAGCATCGTTCGTTTGAAGTAGGCTTTCTATACCTGCGTTGAAGCGCCCACTTCCAAGGACTTGGCACATTAACGTATTTCTCATTCCGCAATTTACCCTTAAGTTAAAAGGTCAAGATCAGCGCACCATGCATCTCTCCTTCGTTCCGCTAGATCTCTCGTCTGATCGTTAGCACACAACATAGTACTAAATGAGCACAGTATACCTTACCTGCAAACTGAATGAAATAGCTCTCTCGTTGCTGGCGTCAACGCAGCCATTGGACGCTGACCAGGGTGTTATTCCCGGGCAGATGCTGCGGCTGCGAAGCAGGCGCAGTAGATGCCCACGTTAGAATCAACTAGAGAGTTCGGCTGGTAGTGCTCTTTTAAGATCCTTAAAAGGATTAAAAACAACACAACTTTGAGATTTACTCAATTGTTATCCGTTATCATCGTTCATGAAACTATTCGCCGACCTGTGTACCCTACGCTCCGGGTTGCCTATTTGGCCATTTCTGTCGTCGCCAGTCTTGTAACAATTTTCGTCACCAGAGCGGGAGCATTGTTGCCTTCCATCTAGTTGGTTTAGGGGGATCTTGAAGCAGGAAGACCATTTACGCAAGAAAGATCCATACCGAAGTCTTGGTAGTTCAGCCAGACTATTTACGCGAGAAAGATCCATACCGAAGTCTTGGTAGTTCAGCTATAGGTCGATACCAAATCAATACGCTTTCATCCGTATGAGTGTCTAGTGCCTGAACGAATTTCTGAAGTAACAGAAAACGCTGTCTTCGAATGGTCTCAGCAATTACTGGTACTCCCACTCCATCATCATCCTTTAGCTGAGTAGCAAATGCTGTGCTAACGATGTTGATGCCACCTCGTCAAGTACTAACCCTGTTGTACAGAATATACCGAGTAACCACACTCTGCCAGCGCCTACTAAAGTCCTTAGGTTAGTCGTTATAGCAGATGTAAATTCCAGAGGCAATATGTTCTTCAGCGGTTTGTTCCGAGGCCAACGGCGTTGGGGTCGTAAAAATTACAGTACATTTCTAGCTTGTTATAAACATTTCTTCGTGTGATTCTTGTGCAACCAGCGATACTTGCACATTTTAACGTAATTATAGCGGAACGAGCGCATCGACGCCAGCATCGATGCAGCTCACTTCCACAACATTGATTTTTTGGCTAGATATATCTGATAAGAATGTAATGTGGAAGCCCATTTAAGTAAAGGACTCGTGAGAAAAAAAACATGAGTGGAATAAAGTCAATGCCGAGAAGAGACTGACATTCTCCCACTGATTCTGCACACGTCAATTGTTGCCGGAGCGCACTTACACCAGCGTTTACATTTGTCGACCGCGACGCTGGCATCACCGAGAACAGAGCGACAGCTTAACTGCTAAATGCCAAAAGGTATGCAAGCATTCATGCAAAGTCCGTATCTAGTTATGAACCCTGCCTTGATTCGGGCTCCGTCCAGGTTACAGATGTAGACTGGTCGAACACATCAACCGATACGGGTACTTAGGATGCATGTTCTCCAATCCCAGCGCACAAACTGTCAGAGGAATGCTGGGGTGCTGTGCGCGACGCCCCTGTGTAGGTAAGATTGCGTACATTCTTAGAAACTAGTGCAGACCTACAAACGGCTGCTGTTATGGTGGGGCGGTTGGCGGCGTCGGGATCGGGCAGCTATAGAAACCTATATTACGAGCTAGCGGTATCACCGCACACACGGAACGTAATTTCATCCTCCTTGCCGTCAACGTGCTACCGTAGCACGCACAGGTAAAGCAAGGTACCTGCAGCAGTACAGCATCAATTTTTGACTATCTGGTAGTTGTGGTTATCCTGACCAGGTAAGTGCTTCTGTTTTGTACGTATGCTAGAAATGCCGGCACAAGTCTTTGCAGTGCACACGCCAGAAGAATGGTGTCCTCAGACCAGACCAATACTGATCATCTTCCACCCAGAACTTGGCTCATTTCGTGGACAGAGAAATACTAAGAGTTGGCTGATCTCGGTCGTCGTTGGTAGGAAAAGTACCCAATTATTTACAAATATTATAAAACAATTGAACCATTATTGTAACGAGCAAATTTTACTTCGCAATGCACAATTACGTACGGTATATGATTATTTTAATATTGTAGGTCATAATTGAAATTAAATCATTTGAATGAAACGGCGTATATGCCTCGAGGCATTTAAACATGTACATGGATGCAAAAAACTGGCTGCAACCCCAAGCAATCGGAGTCTAGGTGAGCAGAAAGCTGTTCTCCATCTTTGGTACAACCGTGAGCTAAAATTTTCGTCGCCCCCTACATGAATCTAGACTGCTTTTTCCAGCATGGCCGAGCTGTTTGAGTGGTTCTCTGTAGAGCTCTTCAAAGTAGATTGTTAGACAAACTACAGTTTGGCACTCAGCTTTACGGTCACGCACGCAGAGCGTAACGTTCAACGCCCTACATTTTCGCTTCGGACTGCTTTTGTAGACAGCCCATGCATCTACATGTACTGTATAATACATGTACCGGTAGAACTGTCGTTGTATTTATTGAGAAGCGTTTGGAAGTACACTCCACGACAAAATGATATGGACACCACCAAAAGTGGCTGTAACTTCGTCAATTTTTATCGTTTTAAGGTGCGGTTTGGACTAGAGTTGCAGAACACGCTGATAAAGATCTGAACGTTGCTAACACGCGCGCTTTTGCGCTTCTTCAGGTAGCTCACATACAAATCACTGGTTCTGCCCAGGTGACAAAACTTATGGACAGCTAATCCCCATACAAAATCCTATATTAACCAAAAACCCTTACAAATGATACGACTTGGACTTTGTATGGGGCGACAAAGGAACCAGCCTCACGGCGATACTCGCGACGTTAGACAAAGATCTGATGGCATTATCGTGTACTAGAAGGTGTGTTTAGTAACCTGTAATAAACACATCGACCATCGCACAAAACTGAGCAAGTAGTAAGCGACTGAAATTTCGAGTGGTGGCTACCATGTATTATCTGATGATTTGCGAGGCACGTTCAGTTGCATCCTAGTTAGTGCCAATTTGTAGCTCTGTATGCTGCTATATCTTGGATATACAATTGTCTTCTCCATTCTAAACTGTTGGTCGATGATATATGGCTCAGTACTAAGGTAGAGTGGAGAAATCATGGGTTCCTTTGTCGCCCCATACAAAGTCCAAGTCGTATCATTTGTAAGGGTTTTTGGTTAATATAGGATTTTGTATGGGGATTAGCTGTCCATAAGTTTTGTCACCTGGGCAGAACCAGTGATTTGTATGTGAGCTACCTGAAGAAGCGCAAAAGCGCGCGTGTTAGCAACGTTCAGATCTTTATCAGCGTGTTCTGCAACTCTAGTCCAAATCGCACCTTAAAACGATAAAAATTGACGAAGTTACAGCCACTTTTGGTGGTGTCCATATCTTTTTTTCGTGGAGTGTAACATGAATTGTACACATGGTGATCCTCGCTGTCCATCTGTGCGAATTGTCAGATCTTGTGATCCGTGCTTGCAGTGATGCAGCGTGGTGCGGCCATTTCCGGCGATGCCATTGGCGTACCGCTCTCCGTAACTTGTGTGACGCGGTGTTGCTCACTTCGCTCCGAAGCATGTTGGCCCAAAGACAAGAATGTTCTGGTTCAAACTTCAAGGCGAGCAACTTGTACATTTACTGTAGATACAATAGTGCACTTTTCTTATGTAAGCTTAGTGAAAGCCTGGGGTTTAGACCGTTACGTGCTGTCGTTGCCGTAGTTTGTGCAGCACATTGCACTGGAAAACCTAGCAGAAATAGACGCTGTACAGTAATGTGCGTCAATAAGGGACGTGTGGCAAGTAATATCCTTACATACATTATATACAGCTGTCAGTCAAGAACACAGCTAACATTGATTTAAGTTAACTTTCGACAGAATCCTGGCGCTATTGGCTGGTTTCGCAACGAGCGCGACTACGTGATTGGCTAGTGAGGTCAGATCTAGCCAATCAGGTATTGAAGCTACCATTTGAATTCGGGCGCGAACATAACTCCTTCCCTCCAACCCGCTCAGCGCGATCTCCAAGCACAACGGAATCTGCCACAACACCAGCGCCCTACCCATCCACCCACCTCATGAGCTCCTCCTCCAAGACTAGAACTCGCCTCACCCAGCAGTAGAAGCTGCGTCTGATCAAGAAGGCTGAGAGCTCCCCGCTGTCAAGTATGAAGACCTGACCCTTTGGGCCAAAGTCGAGTTCGGTCTGCAAAGGCCCCCTGGGAAAGCCACAATCGGCCGCATCATCTCGGGGCGTATCGCGCTGTTGCGGCAGCCTCACGAAAGTGCTCAGCGCAAGAACAAGCCGTCTCCATTCCAGCTACAGATCGATCAAAACATCGTCGAGTTCATCATGCTTGCAGAGGCGGAGGGAATTTGCCTCAGCGGTGCAATGATCGTCTTCTATGCTACGGTGCTAGCCAAGAAGTTGGGCACCCCTAGACATACAGTCGACTTACTAACTGCCATGAAGTGGTGCGAGTCTGCGTGGGATAATGTGTCAGCTTCTACAAGTGCTGGTTGCACTCCACGCTCATTACATACAAACTTCAGCTGACAACTTGTGTAAAAGCAGTGTGTCATTTATTCTAAACTAAATAAATCAATACATTGTTCTTTCTTTTTCCACTTGTTCGCCTTAATAGCCTTTACACTCCTATTCATATCAGAGGTCCCTTATTGACGCACATTACTGTACACGCAGAGTTCGCGGTAAAGTGGCTCCATTCCGGTGGTGGTGTAGGTATTGTAGCCATTTATTAGTTGCTTCCCATGTGTTCAGTGGTTTAACATGAATGAGGGCAAAGGGCGCAAACCAGTGTAGCGGCACGTCAAAAAGAGAAGCAATGCGTTAACCGCAAAACTCTGACACGGGGCTATAGTACATGTATTAGATCGTGCTCTCCGTCCATCCAGACGCAGAGAACTTGCAAGACTAATGTGCATGTGTTGGTTTTTAGCTTGTGGTTGAGGGGGCAAATTCTGAAGTGAGATTAAATGTTATCGTCTCTCAAACTACTCTCTAGTCTTCCCCTCCTGCTTTCCTTCTTGCTCTCCTTGTGCTCGTTGGTGCCTCTCATCAGACGGATTACTCCCGGGTTCCGATTGACTTGATCTCAGTATACTTTAGTCTCCCTGACCAGCCATTGGTATATCCAGAGCCCGGCTGCCGCCGGCTCTCCCGTCGCCGTCGGATCCTCCGAGTCATCGGCGGATGTGTCCACACGTTCTCCTCGTCCATGTGCATCTATTGGCGGCGCTCCCGGAGACTCATGATCACTCCCACTCGCCGCTAATGCTGCACGACCGTCCCGACGATTCCGCTTGCGCTGATCAGGTACTTGAGCCTAACGCCTTGGTAAGCATGTCCGCGAGCTGGTCCTCCGTCGGCACGTAGTTGACGACGATGAGTCCTCGGGACACATTCTCGCGGATGAAATGATGCTTGATGTCCACGTGCTTGGTGCTCGCGTTGTACCCAGCGTTGCTTGCGAGAGCGATCGCGCCCTGGTTGTCCTCCCATACTTGGGTAGCTCCCACTTGCTCGTGACCCATGTCCTTGAGCATGGCGCGGGTCCACAGCACCTCCTGCGTGCACAGACTCAGCGCCATGTACTCGGCCTCCGCCGAGCTGAGCGCCACCGTGCGCTGGTACTTCGACTTGAAGCCCGCTAATCATCACCATGATGCCCGACACCGAGCGTCGGTCGTCGAGATTGCTGCCCCAATCGGCGTCGGTGTACGCCGTCACCTCGACCTTCTTCGCGTTCCCATTGTAGGCGATGCCGATGTCTCGGGTGCTCTTCAGGTACCTGAGCACGCGGATGGCAGCCTTCCAGTGCTGCTGCCCGGGGTTCTCGAGGAAGCGCGACAACTGGGTCACGATGTACGCCACATCAGGTCTGGTGCACGTTGTAATGTACAGCAAACAGCCAATGAGTGCTCGGTAGGGCTTCGCCTGCATTTCCTCACGTTCCTTCTGAGTCATCGGCGACTGAGTCTTCGACAACTTCATGCCCGACTCGCACGGGTTCACCACCACCTTGGCGTCCTGCTGGTTGAACCGCTCCACCACATCATCAATGCATCGAGTCTGCTTGATCATGAGAGTCTTCGCCGATGAGTCATGGTCGATCTCCATACCGAGAATGAACTTGGCCTCGCCCAACTCCTTCATCTTAAACGCATTCTTGAGCGCCACCTTGACTTCCTGGATCTCGCTGCTCGTCTTGGCTGCGATGATCATATCGTCCACGTACAGGCAGACGTACACGAACCTGCCCTTCTCGCCCTTGACGTATACACACTGGTCACCGCCGCAGCTCCGAAATCCGATGCCCACGAAGACTCGGTGGATGGTCTTATGCCAGGCATTTGCCGCCTGCTTCAGACCATAGATCGCCTTCTGCAGCCGACACATCATTTTCTTCGCGTTGATGATACATCCATGTAGACGCGCTCCACCAGCCCGCTGTTGAGAAAGGCGGTGTCCGCATCCAGCTGCTCGGTGATGTACGCCTCGGCCACCACAACCGACAACACCACTCGGATCGAGTTCATGTTGGCCACGGGCGAGTACGTCTCGAAGAAGTCCACGCCATACTTCTGCTTAAACCCTTTCGCCACCAGGCGGGCCTTAAACCGGATGACTCGGCCGTACTCGTCGCGTTTCTTTGCGAACACCCAGCGACAACCGATCGGTCGAGCACTCAGTGTCCGACGGACCAGCGTCCATGATCCGTTGTCCGCGTGTGCCTTGAGCTCCGCATTCATTGCCTTCACCCACTCCGACGACTCGTCGCTCTGCATGGCCTGCTGATACGTGGTGGGTGCGTCATTGGCATCGCCGACGTCTGCGGCGTAGGCCAGCACCACCTCAGCCAACAGGCTGTCTTCGTCCGCCCTGGGTCGCTTTGGAGACGGTGGCCAGAAGTGATCATCGGTGTCCGAGTCATCGGGACCATCTTCTTTCGACTCCTCACCGTCTGTGGAACCATCTCCAAGTAGTAGTACCGGTTCTCGGGCGCGCCGAGTCCGTTCCGGCTCGGGGTGGCAGACCATGTCATCATTCAATACCGGTCTCGCGAGTCGTCGGTACGTTGTCAGCTCCTGCATGGATGGCTCCGACGTCTCCACCTCATGCATCTCCGTGTCCTCGACGGTCTCTTCCACTGATTCCATCGGCTCGTCGGCGGCAGGTCGTTGTATCTCCTCGGGCAGTGCCGCATCCTCGGCATCTTCCGTCAACTCAATGATCGGCGAGTTCTCGCTGGGCGCCATGTCGTAGATGCCGTTCACCTTGCGCTCGTCCAGCTTCACCGACCTGGACACCTTCACCTTGTTCGACTCCAAGTCGTACACTCGGTAGCCTTTTGAGTCGTCGGCGTACCCAAGAAACATACATTTGAAGCTTTTCGGCTCCAACTTGGTGCGTCGCGACTTGTCGACATGAGCGTAACCCATCGACCCGAAGACTCGAAGATGATCCAGCCGAGACTTTGACTTGAACGTCAACTCGTACGGAGTCTTGGTCGGGTGCATGCTGTTCGTCGACCGGTTGATCAGGTAGACAGCAGTGCTGACCGCCTCTGCCCACCATATCGAAGCCACGCCCTTGTAGTGTAGCATGCTTCGAGCCTTCTCCATGATCGTGCGGTTCATCCGCTCCGCCACGCCGTTCTGCTGGGGGCTATACGGGACCGTCTTCTGATGCATAATCCCATTCACCCGGCAGATCTCAGTCATCGGCGTGTTCACGAACTCAGTGCCGTTGTCCGAGCGCATGCATTTAATGCGCTGTCCCCACTGGTTCTCGTACAGCTTCATGAACGACTTGAACTTGGTCACGACCTCGCTCTTCTTAGTCAAGAAGTACACCACGACGTGTCGCGAGTAGTCGTCGACAAATGTGAGCACATACCTCGCTCCGCCCTTGGACTTCGTCTTCATAAGACCCATCACGTCCGTATGAACTAGTTCCAGCGGTCGAGTCGTCGCCGACGTCGACCGCGACGGGAAATGTGCGACCGTCTGCTTGCCCTTCATGTATCCTCCGCACAGGGTCTTCGTCTGCTGTTGAGTCGTCGGGAGCCCGTCCGTCGCCTCGCGGGTCTTTGCAATAGCGTCTCCGTCCAAGTGTCCCATACGAGCGTGCCATAGCTCCCACTTCCCATCGACTCCCGAGTACTCGGTGTAATACACCATGTCCTGCTGGCAGTCCAGCAAGTACGCCTTGCCGACCTTCTTCCCCGAAGCGATCACCTTCGTCTTGTCCCAGATGACGCACGACTTCCGCTGGAACTCGACACTCATGTCGCGTTCAGCCAACCTCCCAACTGAGAGTAGTCGCCGGTCGAGTCCGGGGATGTGGAGCACCTCCACCATTTTGATGCGCTTGCCGTCGATGCCCGTTAGGCGCACAGACCCTTTCCCTGCCACGCGGATCTTCTTCCCGTCCGCGATTGTCACATACACGTCCGCCGACGACTCGTTGTACTCGAACAAGTCATCGCGGTGAGGCGTCATGTGAGCCGTCGCCCCACTATCGATCAGCCAACCCGCTGATGGATTCTCCGCCACAGCGAACACCGAGTCTTCGGCGGTGTCTCCATTTGCCTTTTCCGGGCATTCCCGCTTTATGTGGCCCACTTGGTCACAGTTGAAGCACTTGCCCTTGAAGCCACCGACCTTTCGTCCGCCGTTGCGCTTGCGGCCGAATGCCATGCCGCCCTTGCCGAACTTCCCGTTCTGGCCCCTACCTCCGAACGAGGTAGCCTTCAACGCGCGCTCCGAGGTCTCCTTCTTCTCCTGCCGCTCGTACTCCTTGAGCAGCTTCTCCTTCACCTCGATGAGCGTCACGTCCTTCGAGTTCTCGACGATGGATGCGATCAACTCGTACTCCGCCGGCAAGCTGCTCAGCAGGATGACGAGTTGTCGGGAGTCATCGAGCGGCTCTCCAAGCGTCTGGAGGCCCACGATGAGCTCGTCGAACTTGTCCAGGTGCTTCGCCATCGTCGCACCGTCCTCCATCTTGAACTCATGGAGCCGACGAGTCATCGTGACCCGATTATGCATCGTCGTCCGGTTGTAGAACTCGCGTAGAGTATTCCAGGCTTGGATAGCCGACGTCGCCGACCGAATCTTCGTGTGGTGTTCCACAGCCACGCCTTGAGCGATCAGACCGAGCGCCTTCATGTCTTTGAGCATCCAGGCCTCCGTCATCTCCGTCGGGTCCTTCACGACTTGGACGTGCGCCAGCAGCCCCTTCCTCGCGAGCGTCATACGCATCGCGAACTCCCAGTGGAAGTAATTGTCGCTTCCCAGGATGACTTCGGCGTTCATGCTGGACGTCGTCATGTCGGTCGTCGGGGAGGGCTTGAGCTTATTGCGGCTGTTAACCTGTTGGTTTTTAGCTTGTGGTTGAGGGGGCAAATTCTGAAGTGAGATTAAATGTTATCGTCTCTCACTCTCTAGTCTTCCCCTCCTGCTTTCCTTCTTGTTCTCCTTGTGCTCGTTGGTGCCTCTCATCAGACGGATTACTCCCGGGTTCCGATTGACTTGATCTCAGTATACTTGGGTCTCCCTGACCAGCCATTGGTATATCCAGAGCCCGGCTGCCGCCGGCTCTCCCGTCGCCGTCGGATCCTCCGAGTCATCGGCGGATGTGTCCACACGTTCTCCTCGTCCATGTGCATCTATTGGCGGCGCTCCCGAAGACTCATGAACAGCATGTAAACGGTGCTAACAGAAAATAAGTCCTTTGTTAGAGGACTCATCATCTAATAGTGAACCCTGCCCTCAGAGGCGAATACATGTACACGATTTCAAGCACGAGCCTGTACAGTATTCAGGAATGCGCCAGAAAGCATCACGCCAATGCCCTTTTCAACATCCTTGGTTGATGTTAATTGGGGCATGGGCTCACCGGCTCGATTGCACACGAACTCTGGCGCGTTTACTTGTCGAAGAATAGTGCTTCGCCAATCGCCAAACTAACGAGGAGCTTTTCAGTAAGCGACTTCATTGTTCTTTTAGCGGTGTCCCCCTCAGGACGCCCAAGCAGTTAGTAACAGATTGCGTTCAAGGCTGGCATTCTAGCTTACGTCTTTGATCCTTGAAACTTCCGGGGCAACAGGAACGCTTCTGGGACGACGACGACGATTCATCGGATGAGCCAGACCGAACCGCCTCGCCCGCGACAGCACCACCGGCTACACTGCCCACAAACTACACACTCGCAACGCCCGCGACAGTCATCAGTAGCGTCACGTCCACTTACCGCAACTGGGTTGGTCCTTGGAGCATCTCTGCCGACGCCGCATGCTACCGAGAAGCCCACATCATGCCGACCTGCCCATCCAACTACGACCGCAACGACGCTACCAACACGTGCTGGACAGAGTGTTCCCTTGGATACCCCGTCGAGTGCGGCATGGAATGTATCCGACAGAACGACGACTGCAAGCTTGAAGTCTTCAACAAGATCAGTGTCATCGCTGTGACTGCTTTTGATGCAGCCTCCATGGGCGTCTTCGGCAAGCTGGAAGACATCGGGAGAGGCGTCAGGAGGGCGGTGAGGTGCGCCAACTCGATGGCGACTGTGATCAGAGGCCTCGTGCGGTACATCCGCAACATCAAGACTTCCGACCGGCAAACATCCCACGCCCAGCTATTGGTCATCCTGCATCAGTCCAGCAACGTCGTGACGGACATCCCTATCGCCATCACGAACTGCCTTGGGAAGACCATGCCGCCGAATCTACCCAGATCCAAGAATATACTTGCGACTTCGCAGTATATCCTTTCGCAGGTTCTGAGCAACAACGCGACCATCATCTCCAGTTGGGACAAGTTCAAAGCGTTTCTCGTCGGAGCCAACTTTAGTGATGCTGTGAATGAGCTGAAGTCCACCGACATCTCGTCGCTCGTGTCTGGGATGAAGTCCAAATCAACTTGTGGCGCGGACTTGAAGTCCCTGTTAGATCGCACGTGGACGACGGTGCAGCATTACAGGCAGGAAGACCCCGACATCACTGAAGCCGGCCTTCGGTTGAAGATCAGCAACTCCGACCTTGTGCTGTACGACATTGCCACAGTAACCAACAACTGCATGGGGCAGATGATTGCAGAGTCGACGGAAGCAACCGCCTACAAGACACGCGAAACCCTGCGCAAGACCTTCGGAGTCGTCATCAATGACCTAATTTCTAAGGGTACGAGCAATAATGGCACGACACTGAAGGCGCAATACTACGCGTACCAAGCTATTCAGAAGGGAATGACCGTCCTCTCTACGAGCGGATTCGATCCGATGGATATCTCAACGTTGCTCGTAGCGTACGTCCAGACCGTCTGTGGCCCCACTCAGTTCATGGGAGAGATTGACGACGGCAATGAAGCTGCAACTCTGGGTCTACACATGATCCAGAAGGTTTTCAAAGGCAGCACGAGCTCCTGGTCCAGAGTGGGCGACGGTGCAGTCATCGTCAAGCTCACAAGTACAGACAGCGAAGACGTAACTGTGAATATCAAGTCTGGAGGCGACAAGATCGATGAGGTCCGCGTCCCTGCAGGCGGAAGGGTGACGTGGACGTCGAACACCACAGTTCTGGGCGGTAAGACGCTGTACCTTGACCGGTGGCGACGTGGCGACCGGGTTTCTTGGGACTCCCTGGGACGGGAGGTGGGTCCTTGGTGTTTTGGGTTCCTAGAGCCGCCAGAGGTGGTCACTTAGAGCTTGATGCACGGTTAACCGTGAGCTAGAACTTAGTCATGTAGCATATGACTTAAAGTCTTGATAAAGTATAACAAGTCGCCAAAGTAATGGTCATTCATCTGCTTCTTAATGCTTGCAACGTACTTTTGTAGAAACCATGGTCCTTCCCACCAAGTTGCCTGGGTGGTGCTGTTTCAGACAGATCTAGTGAAATTATACCAGTCTTCAGTGAGACTACCGAAACTGTTGTCTGCGTACTTTCGCACTATCGCACGTATTAGCTGTTCAAGTTGCAGTGCTATTATGCTAGCACACCCGAGTACGCTTGACATTGCTACAGTACGCTATTTTCGTGGACTAACAGGTTTTAGATCTGCCGTGGCTGCACATCCAACCAGCCGACGGCTTCTCCAGCATTGCTGCCTAATAAGAACACAATGCTCTCCAGGTATCTTTTTCTCAGTCCCCGGCTCATTTTGATCCACAGAGGTCGTATTATGCCAGCTTCATTCCCTCCCAGATGTAAGCTGCGCAGCTTATGCCGATGGAACTGTACCACGTTCCAATCCAAAAACGTATCTTGCACCCTTTTTCTTTTCAAAAGAGCGGGTCGGACTAGCGAAATTTCAGCATCAAACGACGTTGAACGTTGAAGCGTTAACCTTGAAGTTGGGCAATGATAGCCTGACCCCCGACCGACTGCTAGCACCGGAATGAGGATTTGTTGCCCCCAAGACCGACTCTTTTCGTCGCCAATCGATCACAACTTTTCGCTATCCTTAGTGAAAAATCCCGACAACGCAAGGCCGCGCGTGCAGTGCACCAGTGGTGCCATATTATACATGTACAGAGAACAAAGGCGTAGGGATTTCGTTGCCACTTAATTTTTCCGCTGATACAGGGTCAATGGAGAGGAAGGTTTACCGGTAAAAGTGTGTTGCACCGGTACTAACTGAAGATTTGATAGCCCATCATGGGTGGACAATACATGTGCAGGCTGAAAGCCGTGGTTGACGCTCGCAGCGTCACGCTGGTTCAAAGCAGTACTGAGCGTGACGAAAACGGGACGTGGGTACAACATACAGATTCTCGGTACGAAATACTGTATACACTTTTGGGGTCAAAACATACAGGTAAAAATACTGTCACCCTGCTAGCGCTCCGCGTACCCAACCAACCCTTACTACTTGGGCACAAAACCCTACCGCGCTTACGTGCGGGGATCGGCTCGCTGCGCTCGCAAGGTGTTATGTACCAGAGTATGGTTCGTACTGAAAGCTGTATAGTTTTGACCTTTCGCCGACGAAAACGATGCGCTCCGGATTTTTGGCTTTGCTGCGGGATGCCGGGCAGTTACAGTACATTCAGCAGTGTTCCAGCACGAAGCCCTCAAGGGAATACTCATACTCCAGAGAAAAAAACATGATGTCGCGCTACATGTACCAAGGCCGTATCAGGTACGTTCATGTCTTGCCTGGCAACTCAGCCTCCTCTCTACATGTTCATGTTCGCGACGCTTCTCCAATCTACGCGATAGGAAGCCAACGTGCCGTGTACTGTGCACTGTAACGCTACATGTACTGTAGTCGCCGATTTGTCCAGCAAACGGCCTGGTTACAGTAAACCTACGGGGAAACGCTAAAACATGCCTATTTCGGCGAAGTGTTTGCAAAACATGCTGTCCACTTTAAAACATACTTGGGTACACTGTACCAACGCCGGTGCACTACTGCACGACCTTGGTGATCCCAGGACATACATTGATATATGCCATCGACGCGCAACCACTACGTCAACCTAATGAGGGCAGCTAGTATGTATACATTACACGCGAGTCGTACATCCAATACTTGCTGCCACTGATACACTGTAATGGAGACGTCTGCAACATCACCCTACTGCATGCACAACTTTTGCTGGTGTTTCATTTGTACAAGAAGTCCTGCACCACTTCACTATGTATCGGTAACTCATGTAAAACGTGTGAAACCCCGAAGCACTTATAAGTGGTGCACCAAACTCGTTTTCTCATGAAACGCACCACCGTATCGCTCAATAAAGCAGTACTGGGGTACCATACTCATGTTTGAACAATTTATAAAAACTTTAAGTGGAGTGCATGTATTAGATTAAGTCCCTAGTTCACAACGCCCTAAGCGTTCGCTACATCTAGCCTAATCTTTTCAACTTTCAACAACTAAACTTCAACTAACCGTTGGGTTTGTGCAGCGACGTTTGTTGTGACCTACCTGTCTGCAGTTTCCGCATCGTTGAATATGGCTGGCCTCGCCCTCATCTTTGCTTGGGTAGCGCCGCTTTCGTTTGGCGCCATCGTGTAGATCGTCGAATTACGGAGAACATGTACTTCGCCCTATCGTTACCATTCGTTACCAATCGTCCGATTGTCGGTAAGCATGTTTTAAAGTGGACAGCATGTTTTGCAAACACTTCGCCGAAATAGGCATGTTTTAGCGTTTCCCCGTAAACCTACACAAAATCTTAATTGTACATACTACTATGTTCTAACTTAAAAATCCGTAAATTGTGAAATTGTGTTATTTACATGTTAATGTTTCAAACAGCACCCTGTGTCGAATTATAAACTATATTTACGATCCATGGCAGCATTCTACCAAAATCGAGCCTCTTGGCAGCAATTTCTCGGCACAACTGACGTACTTTAAAAATCTTCCAACTAGAAGACTTCACCGTAGACTCAAAATCGGTCGCCGTCGCGAGGGTGGGCGGCATGGACGTATTACGGTATGGCACTCGTAATTCAGGACGAAAGATGCTAACAGCAACAGTGGTTCTCTGATGATGTTAGTTAGAGCGCTGTATCATCGGACACGAAGAACGAAAAGCCACGAACCCGATTGCATCGTTCAAAAGAACCAGATCAGAGGGTGATCATTACTGCATTCTCCGTTTGTCAAGAGCACCAAGACGGCAACGTCCAGGGATGAAGCCATGCGTCCTTAGAAACCGGATTTTCCGCGGTGAACCTCAGCCCCACTATTTTAAGGCTGAAGCTGTTGTGTCCTCAGCAATAACGATTGTGCGATAGTTGGAGTAGGCAGCGCTATGAACACTTCAACGCATTGCTTCAACAAGTAGGTGCTACCGATCACCGAATGTATAAAATACATGTAGTGCTGGTTCGTCGTTGGGGGCGCGATCTCTACTGTAGTGTAGTGTATGGCTTTTCACTTGGCGATATCTACCACAATGAAGTGGTCCAGTCTTGTTAGCATCCACCACTATCACCTTACTGCGCTTATATGCGTTCTCTACGATGTCGGTTTGCTACCTCCTGTACATGTATTCATCCTTCGTGCCACATCATTGTGGAGCGTGAACGTACACAGTATACGTTCCGATGCAAGAAAACAAGGACGTGGCAATTATGAATGAGGGAAGCTGGCGTCATGCTGGCGCTGTCGCTGGTCCTCCAGTGCGAACCACATTTGGGTTAAACGCGGTAGGAACCAGAGTTCTGCGAGCAGAATACTGTAGAGTGCCGATATCAAATACATGTACCATACAAACCGCAGGCATGACAACGGGCAGCGTAGCTGATCGAGCCGTCATGTGGTGCTCAGGTGGTCGTGATATTTACGGGTCATCTGTGGCGTTTGTCAGGCATTCGTTCCGGGGGAAGCGGGTGGATGGAGATGAGCTGCTAAGTGGTCTGCTACAGAGTTGGAGCAATATTATGGTCGTCCTTCTTGGTTAGAGGCCAAGAATACAGTTCGGCTTCAAACTTCAAACTTCAAACAGGGCCAACATTGCATTGTCGTCCGGCATGTACAACTTTCAGATAATGTACATTATATTGCTGATCCAAGTAGTTATATTGTATCGAAAAATTGATTTTTAGACAACAATAATTGTAGTCGTACAGTAACTTCGACGTGAGCGCACACGATATGAAGCTGAGCAGGCACTGCGAGTACTGTACAATTAGCACCGAGTGCATCCGCTCAGAATGAATGCACTACCGATCGCACCTTAGTTAAATAAAACATATAAATATGTTTAAAACATCTCAGTTATTGTAAATCCTCAATCATCAATACTATTTTCAGTAGTATGTTTATATACTACTGGTTTTTGGTGAAAATACTGTTTCTGATTAGGAAGGTCTGCTACTGAGTGCGGATAGGTAGAATGATCGTCGTTGACGCCAAAAGTCCAAGCAATCAACAAAACCGAGCCTTGAACAACAAGCGCTCATATTGCTCTCTTAGGTACTACCCCAGTTCCAATCCCTCCCCCTCACAATGCTCGACGTTGGGTGCGAGTACGATACACGACCAATCGAGGGTTGTATCCTGGTCTTACATACTGAAAAGGGGTTAAACCGTGGATCTCGTGATCGTGAGCTTCGATGCAGATGGTGCCGACTACAACAAGAGAAAGAAGGAAGTGACGCCAACTAATAACCGCGGACACCTTCCAGTAGACGTATTCGCGCTTCGCGTTATATGATTAAGAGTCGCTGCCACCATCTCCCAGTCTTCCTGTACCCCCATCTTCTTTTTCTAATGTATTCGCGGGGTCAATGAGCAATGCTCATTGAGCATAGCGCAGCAATGTGCCGATGCGATCTTGTACATGTCCTGTACATGTAGCAGCACCAGCACCCATCACCTCTTCAGCAAATCGCGCTGCCGCCTGTCGAGCGAGCCACAACCCGGCGCACCCGTGGGGAAGTCTTCTGAAGAACCACGGAATTTTCAAACATCGATTCATGCTCTTTCGTAAGACGATACTGGTCCCTAGAGAGCATACCGTAAGTCAAAGCGTCTTACGTTTTGCAATCAACGCATTTTGATTACATTTTGATTTTAGTATACCAGTGGCTACATTGTATTTTGTCACTCAAAACGTAAGACAGTTTGTCGGACACCAGTTTGCGCCATATTATTGGTCAAAAGCTCTACTTGACGTGCAGAGCTGCATCTGCATGCTCGGGCCCACTCAACCACGACAGCGGTGCGGATACAGGCTGTGTTGGTGGCACCTTTGTTCGCCAAGACGACGCAGTTGCATGGCGCGTAGGTCCGTCGACAACAGGATGATATTCTGGCTGCAGCCACGGCGATTCTCATTCTTCTTTTTGCGTCCTCGTAGCGAGGCCCCCGTCACAAGCCAGCAAGATGATCCGGTTAAGGGTGGTGTTCATCCTGTTGACGGTGATCGCCGCGACCACCAGCACACAAGCCATCGACTGGACCTTCTGGAACGATGACGACGATTCCACCGCCTCGTCCGGCTCGAGCACGGGCATGGAGACCCTGTCACCCGAAGCGCTCAAGAGTATGATGGGCTCCGACTACATGGACGCTGTCAAGTCCTTGATCTCCTCGGGCCATGGCTCGGAGTTTTCGGACTCGGACTCTGGATCAGACTCCTTCAACAAGGCTACGGACGCGCCTACTTCGTCGGACTCGTCCGACTCCTCCTCGGGCTCCGACAACTCGGTGGTGCCCGCTTTCTCCTTCTCGGGGTCTGGTGCGGACTCGATCCCTCCGGTGAGTGAAATGGCCTCGCCTTCGAACGCTGTGAGCACTGTCCGGTCCAACTACCGCAACTGGGTCGGACCTTACAGCAAAGGCGGAGACTCGGCTTGCTACCGCGAATCCCACATCATGGACACCTGCCCGAGCAACTTCGACCGCAACGACCTGACCAACACGTGCTGGACCGAGTGCCCGATGGAGTACCCGGTTGAGTGCGGCATGCAGTGCATCCAGCAGAACAACGACTGCGGCCGTGAGAACGTCGCCAAGATCTCGGCCGTGGCCATGTCCGCTCTCAGTATGGCGAGTTTCGGTGTCTTCGGCCAGCTCGCGAAGCTCGGCAAGAAGGTGACGTGGGCGGTCAGATGCGTCAACATGCTCATGACAGCCACGAGAGCGATCGTGCGTTTCACGCGTAACCAAATGGTCAACGACCCGCAGACGTCCCAGGAGAAGCTCCTACTGCTGCTGTACCAGACGAACTACGTCGTCGCCGATCTTCCCGCTACGATCTATGCCTGCATGGGCAAGAATGTGCCCGCCAACCTAAACCTGGCCCGTGGTCTGCTCCCCACGGCCCAGTTCGTGTTGCTGCTGGTGCTGAGTTACGACGACGACATCATCCACAGTTGGGAGAAGTTCAAGGCCTTCATGAAGAGGGCCAACTTCACGGAGGCTGCCGAGGCCATCACGGATGGTGAGATCTCGAGTCTCGAGACGGCCATGAAGCAGAACACGACGTGCGGCGAGGAGATGCGGTCGCTGACCAACCAGGTCTGGATGACGGTGAACGAGTACCGCGAGGACAACCCCAAGATCAAGGAGTCGGAGCTACGCCTGAAGCTCAGCCAGTCGGACTTGATGCTGTACGACGTCGCCACAGTGACTAACAACTGCATGAACCAAATGGCCTCCGAGTCGTCGGTGGCCACCGCCTACAAGACCCGTGAGACTTTGCGCAAGACCTATGGAGTGATAATCGACGACCTCATCAAGGACGGCAAGAGCGACAACGGTACGTCCATGGCCGCCAAGCACAACGCCTACGTGTGGCTGGACAACGCCATCACCTTCGTCTCAGTCGCTTCAGTCCTCATCGACCCCACAGATCTGTCGACGCTGTTTGCCGAATATCTCCAGACGATCTGCGGTCCGACGCAGTTCATGGGCGAGATCGACGATGGCGATGAGGCCGCCACTCTGGGCATGAACGCGCTCCATAAGGCCTTCAAGAACAGCACGCTCTCGTGGACCAGGAAGGGCGACGGCGCTGTCATTATTAACTTCAAGAGCAAGGACACGAAGGATGTGACGGTCAACATCATGTCTGGAGGTGATAAGGTCGACGAAGTGGACGTCAAAGCTGGAGGCACTGCCCAGTGGAAATCAAATGTCACGGCTCTGGGTGGCAAGACGCTGTACCTCGACCGCTGACGTCCGGGTTTCCTGGGTTTTCCTGGAACGGGCGGAGGTTCGCTGGTGTTGTGGGTGCCGATTTCTCGTGAAGGCGGTCACTTGGAGGTGAACGCGCAGCTCAATGTGAGCTAGTTAAGTTGTTTGTTGTAGTTTGCCGAAGATGATATAGCCGAATGGCGCTATAATTCGTCGTTACTTGTAGACGAGGTATAGAATAGTGACGTAGAAACTGGTATTCGAAATTGTACAATAGAGTGAAATGGGCGAAGTCAATTTAGCTCGGGTTGCGTGGCGTGAGCCCGATGCGTCGACGACATGAAATGACATTATTGACTACTTCTTCCCGTTGCGCAGTCAAACTAGCGGACTACTGTTCTACGCTACGCAGGATTTACTACAGTACTGCATGGGCTTTTAATTTTATCCAGAGAGATCACCGAAATGACGTGTGGGGTATGAGTACGTTAGCATCTTAGTCCTAGGCGTCGTTCACTCCTAAGGGTCAGTTGTAAATTGACCAGTAGGACACCGCCAGTTTAAACATATGGCTACATTACACATGACTTATTTTTAGGCTCTATTCCGTTTAAAACAAGGCTTTTCCAGCACACGCCTGCCGCCAAGGAACTTCCGCGGCGGAGCGCCCATGAATCAAGGGAAATGACAAGAAAGGGAAGAAAAGCAAGACGTACCTACGCGTGCCGGTAGACTACGCGCAGAAGATGAAGGTTCTCGGTGGTCGGCTCAAAGTCTCTGTTGAATGTTATGGTACTGGGTGCTCAATGCCGTTAGATAGTTGGGGACGCTCCCATCACACGTGCGTAGCTTCTTGGAGCTGCCGCTGATGGAGAGCACCGCTTGGTACTCGACCTTGAGGCCGTGGCCTGGCGTCTCCTTCTTCATCTCCTTGTTCATGCTGGCCCACGTGTTCTCGCTGCTGTGGGTGCGGCCGGGCACGCCGCTGCTCTCAAAGAAGTGCGCGATGCTCACAGTCTCTCCAAACAGGTGCTAACGCGGGTCCTTGCTGCCCACGACGCCAGCGAGCACGGGGCACGAGTGCACGCCGATGCGGATGTTGAGGTCGGGCACGCCGCAGTTGCGTCACAGCAGCGGCTGCACCGCGAACATGTCGGTGGCGGCCGTGACGACAGCGACGGTAGCGAGACGAATAATTAGCAGTGCAAGCTAATTTGAAATACATGCTTTGATAAATATTTGATGTGCAGTCAGCTGGTGACGCTTGTGATTTGCAATAAGTGCTTGTGCAGTGACGCCTAGGACTAAGATGCTACGGTATGTACGAGTACTGTAATGCTCCTTTCCTGCATAGATTAGGTAAGATATATAGCTGGTACATTCACCAGCAAATACTGTACGTGTAACCATGTAACCTACGTTCAAGAACAAAAAGATGAAAACCCACCAACAATACCGCTCAGCACCAAACGAAACTGTGCCGAAATGCGCAGCAGCAACGTGCTACAGTACTAACTTTGCCTCAGATTTTTAGGGTGAAGACTTCGAGGTCACTTTCAGTAGTTGTCCATGTAGTGATCGTCGACATTCTGAATTGCCGCGCCTGAAATTAGATATCAGAAGGAAGACACCCACGCGTACATCTGTAAGCTTAAACACCGGAATCAGGAATGAGCAACGTGAAGTTGTTCAATGTTGAAGCGCCTGTACACGATCTTCTTGCGCTGTTAAACCATTTTTCGGCGAATCCTATTGCGAACGATTTGCCGTTCAAGTTTTTTTATAGGTAAATATCACGCCACAACACCCTAGTTGGAAGCCTTACTGTACTGTGTTGCGGAGTTAACCCTTTAGCTACGAGCTTTGCAGTGTAGGTCCCCCTGGACATGTGAAACGATTGGCGGGAACCCGGGTTCCCGCAAATGATACCGACCAAATCGCGAATTATTTATTTAATTTTTGGCCCCCATATTGGTACCCTCGGGGCAAGTTAAACCCTCATATCTAAGTGCTGTCGATGAAGGACTACTCTCAAAATATGCCACCGGTACTGAATAGACCCAAATAACATACCTTACCATGTCCAAGTTTATCTTTCATGAGCAGGAGGATAGCGATGAGACCGGGAAGCACTGTACCGCTGCACCAGGCAAGCGACTGGATTTTCGTGGAGAGATACAGGACGAGGGCGAATGTAAATTAACCTTCCGTTCCCCTACTGAGCTTTAGCTGCGTTCTATGTAGGTCATAGACCAACACTTTCAATGCATTTGCTCATACATGTTGTACCGGTAGTTTTGGGGGAACCGGGGTCCCGATGGGTACCCGGGTTCCCGCCAATTGTTTCATGTACCATAACCAACCACAACGCGGTTTCGGACCATTTAGACCAATGGCAGCTCTCGTCAACCCCTCAACAAACCTGTACTTATGGATTTTGGTTTTCGTGTGATTTGCCGCTCGATAGTTGTAGAATAGAAGAGAACCTTCCCGAGTCTTATATCGGTACGCACCAGCTTGTTGATTTGCTCACATGTGGCTATGGTACAGGTCCGCTTGGACCTGTTCTGTTGGCTGACTCTGCGAGCTTCTACCTAGCCCGTACAATGTATTATAGCCAATTGTAGTCAATTATGAGCTGTCGTATAGGTCAGACTGGACCCGTACGAAGCCTCGTAGCTAAAGGGTTAAGTGAACTGGTCCGCATGGTTGGCGGCCATGTTCGTGGTGAAGTTGTGCACGTTGAGGTGCACGTGGAGGTGAGTGTAGACGTAGGTCGTTCGTCCCGTGATGGCTGTGTGAGGCCGGAGGTTTTCCCACGGTGGTGGAATTCTCCACTGGGTTGTCCACCACATACGGCAGTTGTAGATTGAGTGTGACTATCTGCGAGAGGGAGAAAGGTGTAAAGAGGAGCTGTGAGCTCAGTTGAGAAATACACGAGAACCTCGCAGGTGGCTGTTGCTGCCTTTTACATCATCAACTTACCTTGGTGAAGAGCTTCCTCTCTGTGCAGACCTGCAAAACGCCCCAGCAGTTTGCAGCACTCCGCGTCATACTGAAAATTGCCAGCATTGCCCTGCATGCGGCACCAATCGCAAATTTGGAAAGGCAATACGTAGGGCACGACGCTGCGTAGTCTATCCAAAACTTGTTATGGATGCTATGAGCAAACTATATTGAAGTACGCCGTAACTTTAAAAGCTCTCATTGTAAGCGTTTTCATTTGCCACGAATTATTCAAAAATTCATCCGTACAATAGCATTATTCTTAAAATGCGGCTACGGTATTTCGAAGTTTTGTGCACCGACAATAACGAAATAATACCATCAAAAATTAGGTGGTTGGGTCAATCCAATTTGACAACGATTCCGTCTTGCGGCTAGTTATTTCAACTTCAACAGCTTCAAAGGCATCTTTCAATTTTATTCGTTCGCTGCACAATTTATTTATTTGTGGCCAGATCTATTCAATCCACCATGTCTCCCTGTTAAGTGAAAGGGTTAACCTTAAAATTTATTAAATTCCTTAATTACATTGTAAGTATATGATTGATAAAGTGTAAGTTCGGGCTTATGAAATCCGTACCAACTGTGCTCTGAAGCAACCAGAAATATGCTAAGTGCTGGTTGTATGGGCTAACAACTGAACTTGAAGTACGTGTAATAGGGATTGTGGTTGCCGATTGAGATGTTGGCTCAATTATTGCGATCCTCCAATCTTGGCGGCCGTCCAATCTTGGCAATCTTCCAATCTTTTCTTACCAGTTAGTTGAATTAATGACGATTAATCTATCATATTAAGATATTCACAATACATAATATCACCTTGTATTGTAATTTGATATGTAGAACGATCAAACTCAAATAATTATTGTTAAAATATCGGGTGCTTTTCCCGTCCTTCATTTACATAGAAAGACTGAAAATAGTGTGTCGCGCTATCGAAGACAATGCATCGCCGCGTACTACTTAAGTGCTCAAGTCGTAATTCTGATCGCGCGCGCGTGCATGTACATGTATCTACAAAGCCGTGATATCGATCGCCAAACGGTATTTGTCGACCACGCATTAATATATACCCTTGAGACTGAGGTTATTACGGTGGGGCGCTCTCGTAGAAGTACAGCAATGCGTTTCTGTAGAGCACTGTTTTGGTAAGACCGTATGCCGGCCGTACTGTCGACTTTGCGTACGCTGTGGCCACACTATAATGTCTGCGTTATAATAGTTGATCCAAAAATTGTGACACCTTGTATGTTTTTAGACCTGGTCAGGGCATACAATATAGTCGCAGCAGCATTATCTGGCCAATATTGGGCAGCGAGACTTAATAAGTATTGACCCAACAATGTTGCTGCGACTATATAGGATGTCCTCTAAATGCTCAGTCAAATTTGCGGGTTTTGTAAAAGTTATCATAATACGCTGACGACAATCGAATGTGTGCGTACGGCAATCACTGCTAATCGTATTTGTTTATGGTATCCCAAGGTTGCATGTATTGACGTCAAAATGCTTCTTTACCTTGGTGTGTGGACATCTTTGGCATCTTGCACGCACCCCCGTCTATTTAGTATGTACATCTTCAGTAATGTTAATCTACTGTATATGTAGTGCTGATGGGCACAACGATGACGGTCGCTAGAGCATCAAGGTGGGCAGGTGGATGTTTTAGTCCTTAATTAAGATTAATTTCCAGCGGATCGTCTCCATTTTGCGGTGGTGTTTTGGCAACAGTTTAACATTTCGTTATTTTAGCATACAAAAATGGGTTGAAGTACATGTAGGCAGAGCTTTGACCACTTCAACACATTGCTTCAACAAAAGATACTACAGACAACGACGGATAAATCCGGGCGACACTAAAATCCGGAGGACAAAGTCGTGCAGTGTACAACAGCGTCGTGTCAGCCAATTCGATTTGACCAGTAGACTTGGTCTTTGTATAGCATATGCTTTAGTGTACTTTATATGGATTGTTGTGTGTTTTATGAACATTGTTGTGTATTTTATGTCGGTCAAAAGTGTTTTTACAGTGGAAACGGACGGGGATTTCATTGCATTTTACTATGGGCTATGACATTCAGTGATCCCGGGTTTTTCCGTCGTTGTCTGTACACCGAATCGGCAGTTTTCGTCCGGCAAGACAGATGCAGTGAAGGTCGCAGAGGCCCAACCAGCACCCGCACTCTGTTATATCGCTACTGTAGTGCCAGCGCATAACAGGAAGGCGCACATTTCTCCAGGACTTCGTCTTCATCTTTTGTCCACAAGCCATCTTGGCCATGTACCGAGGGAAACACATCCAGAATGACAATCCTTCAGAAGAAACTGACCGATACAGGAAAACAAGGACGCGACAGAGCAACGATCAGATCCTAAACATGATCACCTGACGAGGCAGCTGGTGAATTTTAATACACGTACAGTACACAAGGCAATGTGCATTGTGCCGTTTCGACACCTGTAGCTGACGAGTTTAACGGAGCCATGACCAACACTGTCATCCGAAGCAGTATCCTGGCGAGGCGCAACTGATACAAGCATGTCTGTACAGGCTGTACGGACTACGGGTTCGCTGCTCACTGGTGACGGTCGTCTTGATAAGAGGGCGGTTTGTTGTGTCGCCTTGTACGAGTGGGATCAAACTTCAATGTGACCTTTTTCCCACCACAAAAATGAGCCCAAGAGAAAAAAAATGCATGTCGCTCTTCAGGTCACAAAAACTAAGAATTCTTCCATTTCTGAGTCGTCGATTCGTCAGTCATAAAACACAAATTAGTATTCTAACTTGTGATAACAATAAAACGCATCCTTGTGGCAACATATACATATACTGTGCTGATGGAGGAATCTTTCTGTTCTTGTAACAATAAAAGTAAGCAATTATTTATGTTTTTTATGTTCCCGGTTCTTGTACGTGTCCATTACTATTTTTTGCAAACACTAACATCATTGACATGGGATCACTTTTAGCAGTAGAACCCTATACGCTGCACTAATCGAGATCACTTGACTGATCTTAAATTACTGTTTGGGGTTTGAATCCTATGAAAGAAGTGTCTAAAGACAAGCGTTGTAGGTTACTTGCTGTTGCCCCAATACATCCGAGTTTTGCTTCACATGTACATTTTAGTGCAACAGGGGCCCGGCCCACGTAATGGGAGCTTCCTTCCTGCCGTTTCAACTTCAACGTCATATGGTGTTAAACCTATTCGTGATGCCGAGGTTTATACGTTGAGAAATTATGCTTATGAGGTCGCTACTCCGCTGCTGGTGTCGGCTCACACGCTGTAAATGCATGTGCAACAAGAGCTGAGGGTGTTAAACAACAATATAGTCCTAAGCTTTAAGCCCCAGAACATACAAAAAATGCGTTACAAACTGCCGGTTCCCCCATCTGGTCGTTCTCTTCTGCATTTTATGTATGGGTTTAAAATCGAGCGGTGTCCGGCTCGATTTCTTGCAGTACGTAGCAGCAGCAAGAGCAACGTCCATCACCTCTCTTCCGCAAATCGGCTTGCCTCCAGGTGCCCGACAGCAGCGATTCCGAAAGGCCAGGCGACTTTCAACCGGCACACATGGGCTCATTCTTCCTTTTGCATCCTCGGACACAGAGACACTTGGGCAATCGCCGCTACGTGTCCAGGTCCCCGGCGCAGACAGAAACTTCAAGATGGTTCGATCAAAGGCCGCATTCCTCCTGTTGACGGCGATCGCCGCGACCACCAGCACACAAGCCATCGACTGGACCTTCTGGAACGATGACAACGATACCACCGCCTCGACCGGATCGAACACGGGCCTCGAGACCCTGTCACCCGAAGTGCTCAAGGATATGATGGGCTCCGACTACATGGACGCCGTCAAGTCCTTGATCTCCTCGGGCCACGGCTCGGAGTTTTCGGACTCGGACTCTGGCTCAGAAGACTCTGCGGCCCCGGCCTCCACCACCAGAGCTACGGCCGCGCCTACTTCGTCCGACGACTCTGATTCCTCCTCGGGCGCCGGCAGTTCTGTAGCTCCGACCTTCTCCGGGTCCTCGTCGTCGGACTCAGTGCCTCCGTTGAGTGAAATGGCCTTGCCTTCCAAGGCCGTGAGCAAGTACCCGTCGACGTACCGCAACTGGGTCGGACCATGGAGCCAATCGGCTGATTCGGCGTGCTATCGCGAAGCTCACATCATGAAGACATGCCCCAGCAACTACGACCGCAACGACCTGACCAACACGTGCTGGACCGAGTGCCCCATGGACTACCCGGTCGAGTGCGGGATGCAGTGCATCCAGCAGAACAACGACTGCGGGCGTGAAACTATCGCCAAGGTGTCGGCTCTGGCCATGTCCATCTTGAGTTCGGCCAGCTTCGGCGTCTTTGGAACGCTCGCCAAGCTCGGCAAGACCGTGTCGACGGCTGTCAACTGTGTCAACATGATGCTCGTCGCAGTGAGAGCGATCGTGCGTTTCACGCGTAACCAAATGGTGAACGAGCCGCAGACGTCTCAGGAGAAGCTTCTACTGCTGCTCTACCAGACGAACTTTGTCGTCGGCGATCTGCCCGCTGCGATCTGGGTGTGCCAGGGCAAGAGCTACCCTGCCGGCCTGAGGATGACGCGTGGTCTGCTCCCCACTGCTCAATACATCTTGCTGCTGGTGCTCAGCTACGACGACGACATCATTAACAGTTGGGAGAAGTTCAAGGCCTTCATGAAGAGGGCCAACTTCACGGAGGCTGCCGAGGCCATCACGGATGGTGAGATCTCGAGTCTACAAACGGGAATGGACCAGAACACGACGTGCGGTGATCAACTGCGGTCGCTGACGAGCCAGGTCTGGATGACGGTGAACGAGTACCGCGAGGACAACCCCAAGATCAAGGAGTCGGAGCTACGCCTGAAGCTCAGCCAGTCGGACTTGATGCTGTACGACGTCGCCACGGTGACCAACAACTGCATGAACCAAATGGCCTCCGAGTCGTCGGTGGCCACCGCCTACAAGACCCGTGAGACTTTGCGCAAGACCTATGGAGTGATAATCGACGACCTCATCAAGGACGGCAAGAGCGACAACGGTACGTCCATGGCCGCCAAGCACAACGCCTACGTGTGGCTGGACAACGCCATCACCTTCGTCTCAGTCGCTTCAGTCCTCATCGACCCCACAGATCTGTCGACGCTGTTTGCCGAATATCTCCAGACGATCTGCGGTCCGACGCAGTTCATGGGCGAGATCGACGATGGCGATGAGGCCGCCACTCTGGGCATGAACGCGCTCCATAAGGCCTTCAAGAACAGCACGCTCTCGTGGACCAGGAAGGGCGACGGCGCTGTCATTATTAACTTCAAGAGCAAGGACACGAAGGATGTGACGGTCAACATCATGTCTGGAGGTGATAAGGTCGACGAAGTGGACGTCAAAGCTGGAGGCACTGCCCAGTGGAAATCAAATGTCACGGCTCTGGGTGGCAAGACGCTGTACCTGGATCGGTGGCGTCCCGGTTTCCTGGGACTTCCAGGCACGGGCGGAGGCTCGCTCGTCATGTGGGTGCCCATCGCCCGCGACGGAGGGCACTTGGAGGTGAACGCCCAGCTCAATGTGAGCTAAGGAGTGATATAGAATATGTTTGTTATAGTAGTTCGTCAAAGATGAAGTCATGAAATGACGCGTAGAAGTCGTCACTGAGTTACAGACAACGACGGATAAATACGGCAACGCAAAACCCGGCACACATATGTTGTACTTTTTACAATAAGTAATTCAGATAGCCAATCATCTTCGAGATTTACACTTGACATTTGTAATCCATATGATTTTAAGTACTTTATCTAAATTTGTGTGTACTTTATGCTCCGTTACGTGTATTTTATGTCATTGCCTTGTACAATCTCTATCGTTCCCGACAGAGAATTCTGGTAAGTATATTTGTGGTGATGTGCACTAGTGTATTTCTATCTCACTACAGACAACGACGGATAAATCCGGCACCACTGAATGGCATCCTCCATGGTAAATGTCTTACATTATAGTAAATGTCTTACATTTACTATGGAGGATGCCATTCAGTGGTGCGTTGTCTGTAGTGAGATAGAAATACACTAGTGCACATCACCACAAATATACTTCGAATTGGGTCGATGTCGACGTTGTAGGACTTGAGTACAAAAGTACAAAAGGAACTTGCTTGAAGTGAATCCCATCTCATGCAGCTACAGTTCGTTTTAGAAGAAATGAGTGCCTCCGCGTTCAATACTCGGCCAGATAAGTAGATAAGTGCCAACAAGCCCAGCACGTTCCGTGAATTGCCCGGCGGCAAACCCCCCCCCCCCCCCCCCCCCCCACAGTCGTAAGGTGAAGAATACGGTACACATCTGTAAGCCCCCAAACTCCCTTATAATGAGGCGGAGTCAACACAAAACTTATTCGGCAGAAGCGCCACAGGCTGCTGCATCCACGACCCAGAAGCGCCATCATTAATGGTCCGTCCAAGGAGGTTTCCCACCCCGCTTGGCCAAGGATTTGACTTCAACTTTGCGGTTCAAAGTCAACAAACAAGCGCAGCTAGGGTCCTACAGCGCATACATGTACGTACATGCCAACTGAAGCCACCCCGGAGATGCAGACCACCACACCCATACTCTGGCTGTGACAGCGGTGCAAAAAGAACATCGTCCCTCTTAACATCCTTTCCGTATCAATTACTTCTCCTCCGTCTCCTTCTCCTCCTCATCATCACTAGCAGCTGCAGCAGCGCCGCGTCCAGGCTTGGCGACGATGTAGTAGGTCGTGCCGAAGTGGAAGCGGTGCACCGTCTCGACCTCCAGGCCGGCCTGCTCCACCAGCGCCAGGATGTCCCGGTTCCAGTGGCAGCCCCACTTCTGCGCGTGCAGGTCCGCGAACTTGTCCAGCAGGCCCGACAGCCACGCGTAGCTGCTGCGCCCGTGCTCGAGCAGCAGGATGCGGCCGTCCTGCTTGCACACGCGCTGCATCTCCCGCAGCGCGCGCGCCGAGTCGTCCATGCTGCAGAGCCCGAAGGTGTCTACCACCGTGTCGAACTCGCCCTCGCCGAACGCCAGCTCGTCCGCGCGCATCACGCGCAGCTCGCAGCTGGCCACTTGCTGCCGCTGCGCAGTCGAAACCTGGTCCAGCATGCCCCGACTGAAGTCCGTCAGCACCACATCTGCGCTCGGCGGGTAGAAGGCCAGGTTGCGGCCTGTGCCGACCGCCACCTCCAGCACGCGGCCGCGCGCGCGCCGCAGCAGGAAGCGCCGCATGAGCGAGATGCCCGTGAGCCGCTCGTCCCAGTCCACCTCGCGGTCGTACTGCGCCGCGTTCGCGTCGAACACCTGCAGCCGCCGGGCGTCGTCCACGTGCGGCGCGTCGGCGTTGGCGCCGCTTTTCTTCGGGTCGTACAGCGTCACATACGTCGCGAAGGCCACGCCCGCGTAGAGCGCCGCGCCGCCGAGCAGCACACCGGGACGGCGTACTACTGCGGCCATTTTGATGGTGGCTCAGGTTGCAGGTTCAGGGTCGTCCGAACCGTGGGTTTTGCAGTGTTCGTGTTGGAGGGAATATTTTGATTTGCTTGAATTTTGGTCAATTTGGTCCATTTTTATTTGGTCAGTCAGAATTTGGGTCACTCTAAATTGTGTGTTACTGTAATTTGTGAAATGGTTTTTTGTCCAATTATTGTCAAAAATGAATCGTCTAAAAAGTTCTGTCAAAAACTACGCCACATGAAAGTGACAGCCCTCGCCGTCTTCTTGCTCATCTTCTTGGCCATCGCAGCCACTTCGTCGAAAACAATTGTCAAAAACGCCAATTTGACAACGACTGGTTTTTCACCGGTACTTTTCGACCAACCCAACCGAACGTTTAGTCGAACGTTTAGTGTCCCGACTTACGTCCGAGCCATTTCCGAGGAATGGCGTTACAGCAACCATATGACGACAACACGACAGAAATTAAAGCAACCACAAGGCCTAAAGCAACCCTAAAACCAGCTGACACCCGGTAATTTATTTAAAATGACGCGTAAATGACAGGGATACGTCGCCTTCGTCATGAGTTTTGACAAGATCTCTAAATTTAGAGATATCGTGGTGACGCCCAACCGATGTACTGTACACTAAACTACGTGCGATACACAGTGTTATGTGTCACACATCCCCAAGACTTGGCGATTTTTGAAGAGACCCTGTATCACTGCAATGATTGACAGGAACATTCTGTCACCAGCACTAACACGCACGAATGGCATGAAAATAGCTAGGGAGAGAATCTGGCTAAACCATTGAATGTTGGGTTTTGTCAACTTCCTCAAACGTTACCAAGAGCAGCTATGGAACTGCCATAGAGGTCAGTAAAGACACGATGGGCTACTAGAACATGGCGGAAACAGCTTAATGGAAACCAAACACGGCTATATATTCGGTTTGACGTCCTACTTAAGCTGCACGAGTAGTTGCTGATGAATGTTCTTCACCTTATCCGCTGTGGCACGCGATTTACGGCCTTGGCGCGACTTGCACATAATAATCCACAGCATTCGTAGGCGCATCACCTTCACATCACTCTTAGATACATTGGTCTGTTGCCACAGCAGGTTGTGTGTTAAAAAGCTGTATGTGTGTGCCACCACCATGACTCCACAGCTGGAGCAGTCAGGTTGCTGTGGACCATCGATCCACTTAAAAGGTTTCATCAGTAGGCGGGTGCGAGGGGCCGAAGCTTGGTGCCACCTCTGTACGAATCCACGGAGACCTTCTTCCACTAACTCATTATTGGCGTCTGCAATACCATTCCACTTTGCCTCTATGTCCTCGTGGTAAGCGTCGTCAATTAGAGGTTCATACATATATCCACGCACGCTCAACTTGTCCGTAGCCTTGGCGTAGTGAAGCTGGGCAATTATAACGCCCCAATGGTTTCCGTGCAAGAGGACTGGTAGTAGGATGAACTCGATAGAGCAAATTGGTGTTATTCGCGCCCTTGGAAATCCGACGGCTGTTGTCAATGACGAAAGCGCGTAGCACTGCCCCACAACTCCACTCAGCATTTCCATGCAGAAATCTATTGGGGCATCATTCAGCCAACCTTCACAGACTTCACCCACGAGGTTATCGAAACTTACCCGACCCTTACCAGACGTCGTGACGAATTCAGAGGCTAGTGAACTCGATGAAAACTTAGAGATAACCTCGTTCGCGAGTATCTGGTGTCGCGCGCACACGTCACCCATGGATAATTCAGCCGTTCCTGTTTCGGGTCCAAAAAGATCCACATCCACCTTAACATTTCTCTAATCTTGCTCTAGCCACTTGATGTCGTAAATCCATAATCGTGCCTTGTTCTTCATCGAATGGAACGCTGTTAATGCACCCACATACGCGCTTAAAACAATGGAGTGTTAGAGCAACCATACTAAAGCAACCATACTACAGCAACAATAACGTAAAAACAACCTTACCCGCTGAACTTCAATGTTGTGGTATTGACGGAAGCGACAAGATCAAGAACAATACCTTGGTTCTTAACTCTGGTATCCAGAGGATCGGGCTGCTTTTGCACAATCCTTGCGGTCTTGATTGCATCTTCGAGCGCGTGTGTGAGGTTAACCGGAAGAACGAAGGCGTGTATATAGGTAACTGGACGCGTCGCTTCCCATTGGCATTCTATAGTAAGCGCCGTGATGTCCTGTTCCTTGAGCTGCATAGGATACTTTTCCATTAGTGCGGCCACACCCTTGACGTTGGAAGTATTGCGTGCCCACTGGTCAAAGTCGTCAAGGCTCACGTCTTCTTTCTTCAATCGGCTCTGCAAAATCTCTTTCAGCTTTGTTGGTGGGCTCTGTGCCACATGTGAATCAGCCGGATCTCCAGCAACTGGTCCCTCCATTTTCTCACCCAAGGTTTCTCCATCACTGCCAATGGTGGCTGCATCCGTCGAATCGGAGCGCGTTTTTTCCGTATGATTTCCATTTTCAAAGTAGTTTCCAGGGAACTTAGTTCTTGGTAGTAATTTGCGCTCGGTAGCTTGGATAACTCCTGAAGCAGAGGCTCTAACCACGTCTTCGCATGCGAGTACTTCTCGTCAGAAGATAGCTCATCCGGCACCGGGGAATCGGGCGAAGGAGGCACCTTTGGACTACAATCTGGATCCAGCATGGCATCATCCTGACGATATGGCAACCGTATCTCTGTCGCAGGCAGAGTTAACTATGGCTTGTCATGCAAAGGCTTCGAAGGCGTAGTTGCGAGCGCAGCGATTGTAGCATGCGAATGTGTATGATTCTGTAAGCGGCACAAGCATGTTAGAACGAAATCATTCATTGTCAATATGAGTTCATATTACTTGCTTCCTCACCACGATCCCATACTGGTTAGCCGCAATGGGCACAACAATAGCCGTCAGCCGGGCGTTGCATTTGCAGAATGCTGACTTTCGACTGCGATGTCCTTTTGATCTAGACGGCTGAGTGACTCCGAGGGAACAACGGTAGATCTTGTGGGTAAACTCGAACTGCGTAGACATTTGGTCCATGTGTGTACTACAGAATAGCAAACACACACATATATATCGTCAATAAAAGTAAGTGAAACCAAAAGGTACTTTGCCGTACTTGTTGTATTGCTGTGTAGTTTCAGACGATCGCACTCGAAATCTCAAGTTATGCATTCGCTTGTATTCCGTGAAGCTTTTCTCGAAGTCTGTCCAACGAGCGAAGCATGTCTCTGGAGCAAACGCCGGAACGACATTCTCGATCAGCTCTTCTTCATTGACCTTTGACGTATCCGGATACTTGCTACGCCCTTTACGCGGCATATATTCGCCCGAACTTGGACGCTTAGAGAGTCTGCTGCCGCTACCAAGCTCAAACGGGAGTGGTTGGCCGTGCCCAGAGCTTTTCGTGCCTTGACGAGGAGATGGAGAGGTATGCTCCACCACCTGAGAAGAATGACGCTTCAGCGTCTCGTTCATCCGACGCTTAGCAGGCACTTTAGGCAAAAATAAAGCAACCATACATGATATTAAAGCGATCTTAAATGATAAAGCAACCATAATGAGCCTAGCTTAACAATACCTTGCTTAATGAGCCTAGTTTAACAATACCTTGCTTTGGTTTTGGTGCTTCCTGCTGTCTTCTGTTCTTGGAATTCTTGCGCGGCTTGTGCACTGCAAAGACATATCAATCGTCCGTTGTCAGGGTCACAAGCAACACTCCGAATGACCTTACAGGATTCACATTTTCGCCAATGAATTGGAGCATCATGAGGAATCGCCATGGTCGACTTCATTTGAGACAACCCAGAACCAAATGATACTAATGCGCCATTTAGAGTTATCGAGATAATCGCGTTTAAAGTTAGGACATCGATATTCGTACTTATATGAAGTTTCGAGAAAACGGCCGATTTGTGTTTTGAAAATCAAACTGTCACTAAACTGAGCTTGCTCACTCAAGAACCTGAGACCACAAGAAGATCCTGCTACGATGTCCTCTCACGAACCCTCACCCACGCTGCCAGCCTCCGCCGAGTCTTCTGCTCCGGAGACACGCTCCACGCCTTCCCCCACGCCAGCCCCCAGTGCCCCTACGAACGGTGCGGCGCTGTCAAGTCCGGATAGCTGTCCGTCGCAAGAAGTCGAAGTCCAACTCGCGCAGAACGCCTCGGGCGCTGAAGCCGTGCTCAATGACGCTAGCTCTGGCGAGGAGGAGAGCGAGGAGCCAGACAGCGAAGAGCCCGACGAAAGTGACGACAAGGACTGGAGTGATAACGTCGGCTCCGCTGGTGAGGAAGATGTGACCGGAGAGAGCGCAGAGAGCGAGGCGGATGAGGAGGAAGAGGACATCAGTATCAATTTGCTTGACGTTGATGTCCAGCAGTGCGTGACGAACCTGATTCGAGACGACGTGCGCGAGCGGCGCTGCTTGCAAGGCAAAGCGGGCGAGTTGGAGTGGTTGATGTGCTCGCTGGGGCAGATGTCCAAGCCGGAGAAGACGATTTGCATCCTGACGCTTCTTGGCGTGCTGATGCAGACAGACACAGCCGAGAGACGTCGTGGCAATGATGAACGCGAGAAGTTTCACTACTACTTACCTTTCGTTGGGCGCGTGCGCCGTCCTTCGTTTGCCCGATGCCTCGGCGTGCAGCCGCTTACCATTCAGCGCTACAAAAGGCGCGTGCGTGACGGCAACATTGCTGCCAAGGTGCACGGCAATCGGCTCAACAAGAATACTTCGAAGATCTATCTAGTTTGGTTGGTCAAGTGGTTCAAGGAGTTTGCTGCTGAAGTCGGCGAGATGGTGCACGTGAGGGTGCGCATGCAGAAAACCAAGAACGGTATGATGGAGAAGTACTACAGTCGTGAAGACTGCACGCTGCTACCTGCTACGTTTACCTGGGAGACTCTGTACGACGAGATGCACAAGTTTGTGAGTCTCGGTTTGCGCGTTTGTGAGCCTGCACGCTCCACTTTCCGCAAGTTGCTGTCCGTCCACTGCCCCAACATCAAGATCCGTTCCGCTCAGTCCAATGTGTGTGTGACTTGTGCACCATTTACCAGTCGAGGATGCGTCGCGGGGCTTCTGCTAAACAAGTGGAGGAGCTGGGCCAACACACGGAGTCTGCACGTCGAATGAGGTACGAGGACATAGATATCAAATTGATCTACCAAGAACGTTTCACTTGACCATTGGTAACATTTTGATTTGTTGTTATCTATAGACGCGAGTACAAGATGGACAAAGCTGCTGTCCATGCAAGCGATGGAAGCAGCGGTGATGTTGCAGTGATTGTTATGGATTTTTCGCAGAATTTGACGATTCCTTCGGTCACCACCACTCCGTCGCAGTGGTATTTCTGTTCACTGCTTGCAGTGAACGTCTTCGGAATTTTCTACGAAAACGAGGGAGTGCAGACGAACTACGTCTACGACGAATTTGTGAGTGGAAAAGGAAGCGACCAGATCAACTTAATGCTTCAGCACTTCATTCGCACCGTGCTGCTCCCTGCCGGCAAGAAGCATCTCATTGTGTACGCGGACAATTGCTCAGGCCAGAACAAGAACAATCATGTTATCAAGTTTTTTCTTACTCAAGTTCAGATGGGTGTCTTTGACCGCATCGACTACAAGTTCTTCGTGAAGGGCCATACCAAGAACTCTTGCGACCGTGGCTTTGGCCACATTCGCCGCCACGTTGGCCGCGCAGACTGCTGGACGATGGACCACATCGTATCCGCTGTCAATGAGGCAGCCACTTCGACCATCTAAGTGCACATCTCGCGTGGGAACGAGTTCTTCAAGAGCTACAAGCCGCTCGTGACGGAACTTTACAAGAAGCTAGTGGGGGTACAGCAGTACCAGATCTTTCGTATGGAGACGGCCAAACCCGGGGTAGTGCAGTGCAAGAAGGGACCAGACGACGAGCCCGTGGAGCAGGATCTACGGCGCAAGGTTGACGGGGTATTGACAGAGAGCACTATGGTGGAGCGGATGCTCACCCACTTCCTGGAGGACCTGAGCCCTCCGTCGCTAAATGCGGAGAAGATGACCGAGCTCTACAGCAAGATCCGCCCGTACGTCCCTGATGAGTTTCAGGATGATCCTATCTACGCTGCCCCAAGCCAAGACCAGCAGGACGACGCTAAATCAGCAAAACAAGCTCGCAGAGAGCATCGGGCAGCAATGGCAAAGGCCGCGAAGCAGAACAGCGACCGCCGAGGAAGAAACGAAGGCAACACGAGTGCAGCGACGAAAAAGAGAAAGACAAACAGCGAATAAGCTGCTGCAGTCTAAGGGGATCAAAATGATACTTCCATCCATTTCTCAAACAAATTGTTACTTATCGACATATGCGTGTCACTAACTCGGGGTAATAACTTTAAGACGCGATTTAAGCAGGTTCTGCTCGGAAATGGACGAATCCGAGAGTACCATTCGAACCGCCGGCCCATTTTACCTTTACTTCACCCCAAAAAAAATTCCATTTTTGCTTTGGGAAGGGAGATAATTTTTCTGAGGGCCTATAACTTCGTCGGTTTCAACTCCTGGGAGGCGTGGGTGGGCTCAAATGAAAGAGGAGACGCCCCTCTTTTGATTGGTGTGTCTAAATCGCGATTCGTACTTAGGTTCATTAATATTCTTTTGTTTGATGTTTTCTCATTTTGTCGAGCACAGAATCTACACAGATAAGCAAAGGTTCAGCAGTGTCAATAATACATAATAAAGCAACCTCTTAATGCGAAGCTGCCTTTCGCCGATACCTGGGGTTCTCTTTCGTCCTCGTTCACCTGCGTGGTTCTGCTTCTTCCCCTTGCGCGACTTTCCTGCTAAAACACGCACATCGCACAATATCCAGCATTAAGTACATTAAGTGTCGGCGAATGTACATATCATGGCCTCACCAGCTTTTGATCGAGAGTCAGATTCATCGAAGGAGAGCGCCTCTTCTTCATCATCATCCTCTCCGTCCTCGACCACGAAGTCTTCGTCTTTTTCGTTGTCCTTTCCCATTCCGAGGGCAGAATACACGTAGTTGATGCCGTCGTTTAGCTCCCGCATAGACCTCCCTTTAATGTACATACACACGCATTGTAAGACACTCCAAACCTCCTGCCGTCAGCTCGTTAGTAAAACTTGCTGCGTATCGTGCATAGTGGCCCTCCGGGCAGGGGCCATTAGTTCCTCTTCGCCGCGTGCTGCCTCAGTTCCGTTCCTGGTGCGCGAGAATCCGTGATCCACGCGGCCTCCGTCCAACTGCGCTCTTTTGGAAATGAGCGGCTCAAGGCGACCGAACTTAGTTATATCGTACTTAAATGAAAACGAACTTAAAACTACGAACTTAAATTATTTACGCACCTAAGGACGACCTTGAAATTTTGGCATTTAAATTACGCTCGTAATTTATGATTGCACTAACCCATTTCCGAGCCATTTCCTAATCCATAAGTCGGGCCACTAAACTCTCCATTCGCAAACGCGTTCGATTGGCCAAAAAGCGCGGCTCTTAGAATAGCTGCGCCACCAGGAGCACAAGGGTCCCACCTCGTTGAGGCCGACCCCAGCGCTTGTCATCCGCCCGAGCATGGGCAAAACTGCACCCACCAAGGCCAACAAACACGCGGTCGAAGCTGCACCCTTACTCGCCCCACCAGCCAATGTGGAAGTCCCGCACATTGACACTCATAGGGCAAAGCGCGCGGTGAGTTAGTTGGCTGTAGCAGTTTCGTCTGTCGTCCTTTTGCCTGCTCACCCTTTTTGCTTTCTACTCTACTCGCTCAGATCCCACGAGATGCGGCCATCATGATTGTTCTCCACACCACTCTCGACAAGGCCGTACACCTGCACGACCCAATTGAGCCACACGAAGCCGACCGAATCGTACGATACAACCGTGTTTTTGGTCGTTTTCTCGTTACCCCGAAGTCATTTTCTGGCTTTAAAATATGTTTGTTGCGCCCACAGTTTTCCTTCGCTGTAAAGGGCCTCGCTGATCAAATGTTGCTGCCGATCCTCACAAGTGCCCAGGACGTGCTGGAGGGCGGGGACTTGCGCTTCCAACGCGACTCGCAGCCCGTTGCTGCGTCAAGCGACCGCCACGCGTCAAAGCTGGTCCGAAAGAGACTCAAGAGACGCAAGCAGAGCTACGCCGCCGCAGTGAAGACGTCCATCTACGGCAACTACGCCGCGTCTCGAGCGTCTTCGCGGACGGAATCGCGCTTTGGAGGGTCAAAGTTTGGCGGGTCGCGAGCCTCAGCGTCGCTTTGGGGCGCAGTGCCGAAAGTGCCCAGGATGTCGCTGATCTACGACTTGCATCGAGGTGGCGAGTCTCTGATGAACTCGTCCTGGATTGGCAGTCAGCAATGCTCGACCGGTACTGCCAGTAACAACGCCTCCTGGTTGCCAGGAGCATTTTCAACTACGAAGAGTCCGTCCCCACCGCCGTCCGTGGCTGGTACTGCGCGAGTGGCCGTGGATTTTGGCGAGTTGCAGCAACGAGCGGACATTGAACGCGACTTGAACACGCGCGAGTCGGTCCGACGATCCAAGGACGAGCTCAATCGCAAGAGCGATCTACGGTTAAAGTTGCGGTCCCTGGCCGATCCAACGGTCTCTCTTGACAAGGAGGAAGCCATGATGACAGCTTTCGGGGCAAGAGGGTCGCGCTCACGGCTTCAGCACAGTCGACAGGGAACTCGAGATGGGAAACGTGTAGGCGGCACCAAAAGCTCAAAGGCTTCAACGCTAGCTGCGGATGAAACGACGACGTTCAGGACGGAGGACTACGAGGGACTTACTTCAGATGTCGTCCTGTGCAGCAAAAGCGGCGAACTCTTAGTCGGTGAAAACTGCTTTGTCGTTGAGCAGAAACACCGACGAGAATTTCTTCTGGATCTACAGACACGAGGAGTTGTCCAGCCTCGTATCCAGCTTGTTGCAACCCCGAAGCCGGATGAAGAGATTGTTCCGGATGAAAATGTACCAAGCCCTGGACATCAGCAGCCAACTCGTTCATCTCCGCCTCCGTTACGTCCACCAGGAGCTCCAACATCTGCGGAACAGCTCCAGATCTCGACTCCGAGCGATTTTGATGGGCAGATTGGGTCTTTTGAGTCTTCGCCTTGCCTTGCGCTTAATCTAGAGGCTACACCTCTCGCCAAAGGCGTTGTTATTAAACTCCCTGACACTGGAGCAGCTCGTGCTCTAGCCACCAAAACCCGGAATGCACCGACGAAAAAGTCGCCGAAAAGAGCCCCACTCCCGGAAAGTGTATCAAATGCTAAGCTTGAGAAGCATTTCAACGCCTTAATCCAGACTCCAGGTGCGAACAAGCCTGGGCTCAGTACGTCTCAAAGCGACTCGGTATTGCAGACACAGCGAGCTCTGCCGACTGCCGCGCCTTTGTCAACATCACCTGCAAGCGCCCAACCACCTCAAACAACGAAGCCGAGTGGTGCAGGCAGCCCCGTACTCCCGAAACACATTGTACGTGTTACTTTGTTATCGATGTGATAGTCACTGCGGTATATATGTAATCTAATGTTTGTTTTCGTGATTTCGACAGCACAATGGAGAGAAACACCTGCAAAGCCTACGAATACGGACCCCAGCTTATCCAACTCGACTGTCACGTAAAACGCCTTCGCACGGAAGCTTATTCGTCGACCGAGACGAGTACGAATGGTCCGTTGCAGGCGCAGAAAGTCTCTTTTCTCTGCAAGAGGTGAGCGCTTACTGTTCTTCCTTCAGTAAAAAAAATAGTTCATCTAAAGTGCTGACGTTGTTTATTCTGTTGCAGCAGTCTTTGACAAATAGCCTGCCCACTGTTAAATACGTGCGCGAGTTTCCCAAGCCGCCGCAAGGACGTGTCCAAGTATTTGGGGGCATGCCACAAAACGCCGACTGGAAGTTGCCGAGTCCGTCCCCCTTTTCATTTCATCCCAGAACAACAACTGTCCAGCACAAAAGGCGATGACTTTTGGCTGGCCGTACAGCCCATGTTTCGGAATAGGGTTAGGGATAAATGCATACTAAAACCAAGTAAGATCTCCAAAACATGTAAAACATGCTGAAATCATGGACATCCATGTTTCGGTTTTCAGGACGGGTGTCATGGCACCCAAATCTATTGCAAATCCCTGGGAACTGGGTAATCGAGTTGCTAAATGTGGCTCTACCTGTCCTTAAAACCTTTAGAAGGCCGACCCAGCGCTAGGCAGGGAACTGTAGACCTAAGTCTTGCTTCGGGGCTACGTTTGCGGGTTGTTCATGCTTCTCAAACGCCACTGATGCCGATTTGGTCTCTGCATCACGATAGATTTGCGAGCCATTTCACCCCCTCCAATGGGCTGTACATTTTCCGATGACTTTTTAACGTCGAAAGGTTTGACACCTCCACGCTTCATACATTTCGTACAGTTTCTCTGCCATACATGTATCTCCAAGTGGATTGGCCGATGCTGAATGGAGATTTTCGCCGAGCCAAGACTAGGAGTGTGCATCACGGACAGCATACAGATTTTGCACTCGAGCTCCGCAGTACGATGGAGTCGAAAGAAACCAGCACGACACAAGGGATGGCGCGGGTACCGGTATTGATCAGCGTACATGTACAGGCTTGGAGTCGTTCCCTGGAGTTCGAGGTCTGGTAAACGAATTGGGGACCAAATACTACTACCGGTAGGCAGATGGAGCGCATCACGAATTGTGGTTGATACTTAAGTTGGCACTAGGTTGCCTTGACTTTGGAGGCAAAGATGACAAATAAAATAAAACCAAAGTACTTCTAGTAAAGTAAAGCGTTAAAAGAGAAGATACTTTTAGTTTGTGTTGTCGGTCAGTAGGATACAAACATAATATTCATGAATATAAATGTTACCGCCACCTTTTCTACTGCGAAATACTTGCGGAACCAAACCTTCCGCAAGCGCAAGACCTGTAGCGTTGAATTAGCTCTCACTGCGTGGCGCATGGTCTGCCGGTGGAACTCAACAATTGCGTACTTAAAAAAAGGCAAACGGGTTGAGGGGTTGTGCAACCCGGCAACGTTTTGGACAGGTGATTGGACGCGAAAGAGTTTTCCCGCACATGCGGTGACAAGAAGGACACATCAAGCGCCGTTATCGGCCAAAGGACGTCACCATCTCTGAAAAACGTTTGAGCTGAAGACGACGTGCTGTCTCCTTCAACGTGACAGGCATGCATTTGCTTGCTAATTTTCATCGTGCAGAGAAATTTCGGCCACTCGTTCTGGCGCTGCCGTCGGCAGCGACGGTGGAAAAACGAGTGGCTGTTGCGAATACAGTAGCTGGGGCTTACAAAAGAAGGCAGCGAAGGTTCCGCTCTAAAACCATTCAACAACCGCGTTGAATGTTCTCGTCATCGCGAATCGCGGTTCCCGCTGCCGTTGCCACATTGCACACCGAACTATGTACAAAAGATTCCCTCAAACTTTCGGTGCGTATTCCGGGCGCTCGTCACGTCAAAAATCCCGGCAGTGTACTAGAGCCAGCCTTTGGAGAAGTTTTGCTTACCATAGCGAAGCGGATACTAGTACCGTAATTTAGATCTCATACTACATATAGCTGATTATTGAAGTTGTTGTGTTGCAAAGTGGACACGAGATGTACATGTACCGACGATTTTATGTTCGTATTCTGAAGTGCATCATGCAAAGTGGTATTTACCGGTACCCTTAAACACTGCTGTCTAGATCTATCTACTCCACGGCAGCTAGCGTCACGCTGAGCTTGTGTTGAAAGGAGACAGCAACACGCTTAAACTGCTTCGGCAGCTTTCCTGTTCCTGTTGTGCGTGTCTGCCCTCCCTGCTGACCTGGAGAGCGGGACATCACTTTCCGTGGAATTGGCGTGCGCTCCATGGTTGTTCTCTTGCAATGACTGGTCCTCTTTTGCTGCATTTGCTCTATTTATACCCTACGTATTATGAGAACTCAACTGATGAGCTGGGTAAATGGCGCGATATCATTTGGCTACAGACAACGACGGATAAATCCGGCATAACTGAATGACATCCTCCATAGTAAATGTGCCAGAATTCTCTGTCGGGAACGATAGAGATTGTACAAGGCAATGACATAAAATACACGTAACGGAGCATAAAGTTCACACAAATCTAGAGAAAGTACTTAAAACCATATGGAATACAAATGTCAAGTGTAACGCTCGAAACTGATTGGCTATCTGAATTACTTATTGTAAAAAGTACAACATATGTGTGCCGGGTTTTGCGTTGCCGTATTTATCCGTCGTTGTCTGTAATGCCTAGTATGAAGTAAGAGATCTGTCTGTAGTATGAGATCTAAATTACGCGACATGTAATACTGTGAACTGCTTGTTGTTATTCTGCACAATCTCACCGCCGACTGTCCGAGTCCTCTGCACACTCTCAACAATTTTAGCCAATATAATTAGCCCGAAAGCAAGCAGGAGCTTACATCACAACAAGTATCCAGGCAAGTTACCAAGACAGCGAAGCTCCGCATAGCTCACTAAACGTGACAAGCAGCTCGAGAGAGCCGCCGACCATGACGAGATGGCACTAGTACTGGCGCTAATGCTGCGTCTTCGCTCAACGCGTCAACGAAGCTCGCTGTTCTCAACGTCGAAGATGGCGACTATCAGTGTGGCGCTTGTGGACGGGAGCAAGACCAGCTCTCGGCAGACCAAGCACCTAGAAGTGGTTTTCATGCGATAGCATTAACCCACCGCACCGGTAAGCGTTCCAATGCACCCCCACCTACTCTGAACTGTGCCTAACCACTCTGTGTACTTATGTTTTGTTAGCATAGCGAACAGCTTGAATACAGCAGTATGGAGATTAAGGCCTTCGGCGAGGGTTTGGATGCAGCTTTATTCAATCGAGCCGAGCCATTTGCAAGTGCCAGTGACAGAGGCCTTGACTGAACGGGTTGCTCGCAGACTCTTCCTTCGACAGAATCAATTTTTGGCTGCTTCAATTTATTTTCTCCAGTTTTCTTGTTGCGACTGTAGTTTTGAGCTCGGCGCAGAGACTCCCAGCGCCGCTCAAGAAACTCGTCACTCTTACGATTAATGTCGGGACATGTGCATGCTGCAAAATCATATACCGAACGGTACACTTGCTTTACACTTTTGATGCCCGTCGACAATCTCAGAATCTGAAACAAATTTTCTTGAAGCGAGCTCTCGCCTCCGCGATTTTTTTCATCGTTGACCATCTTGTTTTGCACCATCAGGGTCCGAGCCTCTTTGCTTAAGGCTTTAGGCGCGCACTGCGTCAGCTGCAAATCTATAGAGGCTAACCGCCGAGCAATCGCTTGGTGACTGTGCTTCCTGATGGCTAAGCTGGGGTTATCCATCCGCCTGACCGCTGCATTATACAGAATCGTTGTGACCACCTCACACTGCTCCCACTTTGCTTCTTTAGAAGCAAGTTGCTCAGCACGCACTTGTTTCAACAGCGCAAACTCGTGAGCAGAAAATTCAGAGGTACTCTCGTACTCTGGCTCCAGACCCAAGTTCTCGGTGAAGTCGTGCTGATTCATTTGCTTGCACCCTCGATATGCAGAATATAACATTGTTCGGATGTCGTCGAGCGCAGAATCGTTGCGGAGCATATTCCCCTCAGCATATTCAACCCGCAATGGAATCATGTCGTACAGAGTCTCCCACGAACGATGGCCTTGCCATTGCGAAGCCCCCGGTCTATATTGTTGTTGGAGACTAATTGCGGACGGTCGGGCTGCAAGCAACTGGCTAATGTACTCGAGCTGAGGTGAATCTGGGATTATTCCTCGGCAAAGAACAGCAGTTCGGCACAGTGTCATGAAATCACAACCAGTGAATTCGGGATTGCGTCGAAACTTTGCTCCAACCTTCAGATTATGCTGTAACCACAAAATAAAAAAGAAATAATGTTTGTGAGTTTTTCTTAACGGATAAGAGAAGACTTTGCGGCTGTACCTGCAGAAGAAAGATGTCCAGAATTCGTAGACCGACTTCGATGGACACTACACGGTCCAGTAGCTTGCGAAGCTTGGAATGTATAGCCTCCAGCTGACTGGTAGAGACGACTTGGACAGAGCAACCTCCTTCGCAATAGTTGCTCGTCTCTACGAACAGGTCCCCAGTACGAATCTGCTCTAAATTACTTTTGACGCAGCCTTCCCATTCGCTACTTGAAACACGGATATCCGATGGATTCATTGTAGCCAAGGCAGCGGTGAACATGCGCTCCATCACATCAGGAGATCGAAGCTTTCCCTCCACGTCGTACAAACCTTCAGAAAGTCTCTTAGATAACCACTGTCGCTTCACCGAATCGCTTATTTTCTCAGTCAATCTCTGGATAACGTGAAAAGGGTCTTATTTCACCACTACAGACTCGCCAAAAACATTTTTCACGAGGTTGCGCATGCCATTTGCGTGATCGCACACACAAAATCGCTCAATATGAGAAGTGGAGGCCAGCTTGTTTGCAATTGGCTGCAAAATAGCGGTAGTTTCTTCATGGTTTTCAGACTTTGTCAGACCCCGCGCGAGCAACTGACCCACTTCATTCTGGACAAGCAACAGCATGCGCACGCTAGCCACTTGTTATTTGCTTCCATCTGCGCCAAACACCTTCAGCTTGCTACACAACTTTTGCGAGTGGTCCACCCTAAGTACTTTAGCGCACTCCGCAGACGCCCTGTGAGCTTCCACCAACGTACTGCACACTGCAGTTTGCGTAAGCCACAATTTTTGGATGACCTCGCTGTCAAGGCACCCGTGATCTGTCATATACTGCTCCACCGAGAGAAGCAAAGGCTGACTGTAGTGGGGGTCGGCTCGCTTGCGTTTCTCTATCTCGGTTGCGGCACCAGCTAACAGGGTGTAGTACCGCTTCTGTCGACGGCGAACAATGTTGTTGGTGGCCCCTGATATCCCCTTAGTTGTCAACATACTATCATATACAAGGTCAAACAGCTCTAGCGAGATGCCAGATTTGTAAGTAAGTAGATATGGAAATGCTAACAGCACTTCTTTCGATGTGGACAAGTATCTATCATCAATTGTAGTAAAAGATACTTTAGACGCACCTCGGCAAACGTACCTTGCGTAGTATATTGTGGTTTTATGATCGGCGTCATGTACCGTTCGCTGCAAATATTCTTTTACTTGAGGAGTGCAGTGGCAACCCTCTGTAACACAAACGGGCTTTCGTGTTTCTGTTAAAGCCTCCGGAGCCCATGCAAGCGTAGGCACCTTAAACCAAGCAGACAACATAGCACCCGACTGCTTCTCAGGTAGCGAAATCGCAGGGGGGAACATCCTCATTGCGATGGCTTCTTGGACAGCGCCATGGGCGGCCATCCTAGCAGAATTCTGACTTTCTCTGAACTACAGTTGGAATTAAACGGCGTTTTGAGATCTAATTTCGGCGGCGGCGACCTGCGGGCCTGGCGGCCCGCCAATGCCGGTCAAGCCCATGGAGGCTTGAGTCGAAAATCTAAAAAAATGCTTCGCACCACGAAAATTCTCTGGTCGTAACGTCGTCCGTCCCCCAACTGTACATGTACAGGTCGAGAGAGCGTTCTAATCACAGAGGAAGATGGTCATTTCACAGAGCGTGGGGTCATTTTACAGAGCGTGGGGTCAAACTACAGACTGTAGTGTATAATCACAGAGACAGCGATTGCTTCACAGAGCACGCTCCTGTACGTGTAACCTTCGGCACAGCGTAACCCGCGCAATTCTGCCGCAGAATTGCCGCACATTTACTATTGCATATTATTGTAGGATAAGAGTATTTTGGCCGGACACCCCACCCCTCATACAGAGACTACAGGGGCATGGCCCAATCCGCAACGCGTACGCAAGGACTACAGTGAATTATACCCAATCACAGAGTATTAGGGGTAGGTTAAGTGTGTCCCAGCTTATTTCCGGAATTGCTCGGAATCGCGAGGAATGATCTAATAAGAGAGTATACAAACATTTATATAAACTGCAACTTATCCGATAATAGCACAGCTTGCCAGAAAGACAGGAAATTTAAAGGTTCGATAGCTTGCGATGGTTTTTAAATAGATTATAGCTGAGCTCGTGCTCATTCTCGATCTCCCGCAACAGCCACGATGCGGAGGGCATCACGCGGGCTTGACACTCCAGCTGGCACGATCAGCCAGGAGCTAGCTGCCGATAAGCTTTTCGAGGAATTTCTTAACTCCATGAGCCTGACTAAGGCTTCGCTCGATGATATACATAGAGCGCATAGCGATGATGCTAGTCTACCTACTCAAAACTTTTATTCATTGCTAACAACTTTTTCAATCTTGATACAGACTCGAAAAAGTAACAGAGCCCGTGCTGCCGACGGATTACTGGCGAAGGCAACAGCTCTTGGCTACTTCTCACAAGTCGTCAATCTCCTACGAGAGCGCTACACTACGTCGCTAACCGACTCCAAGAGGATCGCAAAAATCAGGGACAAGATGGCAAGTCACATTGAGGAACGCAATCTTCGCGCCAACGTTCAAACGAATGACGCCCCAGGGTGTACACTTGATGATTTGTGTGGACTAGTGGAATTTCTCGTGACTCATGCCGATGTGACAACTGGTTTAAAGTCTGTGCATGATGCTGCGCTTTTGACAATGATGTGGCATACATTTGGGCGGGCTATCGATACATGCTTCGCACGCAAGCAGCAACTTTCAATTGCCGCCTCTGGAGAGCTTTTCCTGCATATCGCCCGGATTAAGACCTCGGTTGTACAGGGCGTGTCAATTTATAAGTCACCAGAGCGCTGGCAGCAGTGCATGCTTCACGCGTTTGGCCTGTTATTCATATGCTACGATGAGCCCTCTGAGCATCTCTTCCCCTTGGTCCCACGCTTTGCTGAGTCGGACCTTCCTGGAGGCCAGCCTTATTCTCAGGAAGAAGCCATCATGTACTGGGAAAGGCTGCAGAAAGAGGACGAAGGAGGCGCCGAACCCCCGCAGAAACGAGAGAGAAAGCGGCCAAACGTAGCAAGTTACATTACCGAGATCATTAGGGATACCTTGAAGGCGATGCCGCCTTCGGCGAGCCAACGTATTACATCGGGGATGACCAGCCATTCTCTTCGCCGCGGTGCTGCTGCTTACGCGAACGCATGCTGCTGTCCTCGACGCTGGAGAACATGCTCACGCAATTGGTGAGCATCAATGAGCGGCTCGGCCGGCTTGAAGATGCGCACACCCGACTGCCTCTTGGTTCTGTCGACGCTCCACCTCCTGCCGCCAGCGCTGCATTCACTACTGCCGTCGAGCTCTCAGCTCCAGCGCCTCCAACAGCGTCGACGCTCGCGGGATCGCTGCTCAACTGGTATACTAACCACATCTGGGAAACCGTTAAGGGTAAGAAAAAGCAGAACAAACGAGCAGAGGCAAAGGCTACGATCAACATCATGGCAATACTTTACCAAGCGCCATTCCAGATATCGAAGCAGCCCAGTCGATCCGACGTCGCGGCTTACCAGCACTGGAAAGACGAGATTTGGACGCTTGCCTTGGCCATGGACTCCACTGTCAACGCGCGGCTGCACTCCTTCGACCAAAAAAAAACTACATGCAAAGCGTCTTCGTTACGCAAGCGCTGGCGCCAGTTGCGTACCTCGCATCCCGACGCATACCGCACGCTTGGTGCCCAATATTTAGCGCTCAAAGCCAGCGGCGCTGTTGTGGACGCTTGTACGCCTGCATCGCACAATGGGGGGCTTCGGATCTGGCTTAGCGCTCGCCTTCAAGCACGCACAAAGCACAAGCAACACACAGAGCACGATTGCCCCCGACTGGAGTTGAACCAGCGACCTGGAGGCATAGCCTTCCGCTCTGCCGCTGAGCTACGGGGGGCGTGGAGAGTAAGACGACCTACCTCCGGAGATCCACCGCTGTCTGCGTCGCCACTGTCCGCCACGCTGTCGCTGTCCGCTGCTGCCACCACCACGACACCGCTGCTCACCCTCATGCCGACCGCATTTATGCCTCCGTCGATCTGCTGCTGTGCCGTTGTCCGCCGTGCTGCCGCGCGCGCTCCGAGTCCCCCGCGCCGCTGTCCGCCGTGCTGCCGCGCGCACTCCCGAGTCCCCCGCGCCGCTGCCTGTCGTGCTGCCGCGCGCGCGCCGTGTGGCTGCCTCGAAGAACGCCGAATGAGGGAGAACAAGTGGAGAGGATTTACATATTTCATATAAGTACGAATTTTAGCCCTTTGCACTCCCGTCCGGAATGAATAAGTCGACGTTAATTGGAACGAGGTTTTTTATGTGGCGCCAGTGTGGCTCTTTTGCAGGTTTGACAGGTTTCCGGATTCCGGTCCGGAATCTGCCAATTACTGCTGCTACTGCCGGCTCAATGCCTGCGTACAGTGGGGGCTTCTTGTGGTGTGGCGCCCATGAGGGATCACTACAGCCCACCCCCGCTGCCTCCTACTTTCGAACTAGGTGCGCTATTAACGCATGTAGCTCAACTGAAAAGCGAGGTATTTAAGCAGGGGGGGGGGGCTTCGTGCAGCTACGCGATCGTCACGGGGGTCGGTAACGCGAAGGGGATGAAACAGGGTTACGTGTACATCACACGCATAAATCTAGAATGGCATAGAGTGAAGTGAAATACCAGCTAGCTGCTACAGCGTGCAGTAGCACAGGCTGCGGTTGTCATGCCTCGAGTAGCAGCCCGATGGAGTGCTCGGTACTAGTCAAAAAGACACGTGCGCCGTGCGCTACAAGTCTCTCAACCATGTCGACGTGGCCGTTCACAGCTGGCCGTGGCCATTGAGCGCGTCGATAGCGGCGGTAGCACACACATCGCTCAGTCAGGTATGCTTGAGACTGCTTCCCGAGCTGGAAGCGCGGCAACGAAACACTTGAGTCCCCATGCGTTTTGCCGCTCTTATGACAGCTCGATATAGCTCTTAAGGCAGGTCGATATAGGATTAAATAGTGGTGACTCATGCGGCAGACCGACTGGCGTTGCGTCCGGTGAAGACCACGTTCAGCACTTTGGCGCCATCGACGAGGTTTCCTGTAGGCTACGACGCAGGGAGTAGGATGCGGTATTATATATTATAAAATACTTCCTGCACCTCAATGCATAAACTACAGTCTCCTCTGCCTCTTAAAGGCTGTAGCACGATCATGATCGACAGCTTTTATCTTGCAGTGTAGCATGATATTTTGCTCGTACACTCCACGACAAAAATATATGGATGAATATAGTGGTCTTTCCGACAGAGAGACTGACAGGATTGTGACTGGGCCCAATCAGTTCGCGTTTTGACCAATCACGGAGCTTCAATAGTGTAGTTTTGGCAAATAGGAGATAATAGGGGTAGGTTTCCGGTTCCGACACTTTCCGACAAATATTTGTCGGAATCCACACAGTAATATGAATATGTACATACAAATATCAATTAGTTAACATATTTTTTAAATATTGTCATGGCTCTGACAACTAGGTTTATTCCTAAGGTAGGAAACCGGTCGGTGGATAGGATAACCAGTACGTAGGCTTTGCGTTTGACCGCACAATTAAAAGAACCAAGCAGTAGCAGACGAAGCAGCATGAGCTTAGCTGCCTTCGTTCCTACGAACACGCAGAAGGCGCGGAATACTGCCGTCGCCGCATTCAAGCGGATGTTGGAGGAGGAGAAGGCTAGCCTTGAGTTTGTCGAGGCTAGCATTCACTTGGATGCCTCCGGCAAACGTTTAGCGGCGACGATGGACCGCTTTGGCTTCTACCTCGCAACCAACGAAGGTAAGAATGGTAAGTTAGCCCGCAACACGGCAACATCATATCATAGAAATGTCAAGTTGTGGCTATTTGACAAGTATCCACACTTGCGAGTACCAACTGAGTTGATCTTGCTAAAGCAAGGGAAGACTTTAGATAAACATTGCATGAAACGCGAAAAAGGTGGCTTGATTAATAAGGCTCCACCTTGTACTAAGGAGGATTTACAGTCTTTAGTCCGTTACGTGTACAGCACAGCACGCGTGCACGCCGACTACCAAGACGCAGCACTAGCGTGCTTGATGTGGCACTGCTTTGGCCGGTCGTCAGACCTAGGCTACATCCAAAACCAGCACGTGTCTCTATCGGCAGACGGCACCTTCTACCTGCGGCTGCTACGTGTCAATACATCAGAAGAACAGGGTCTTACCTTGATCCCGGACAAGAGCGACTTCTTGACGTGTCCCTTGCACGCTCTGGCCTTAGCGCAAGCGACGCAGGACGCGCCATGCGCGGCACTCCTGTCTCAGTTGCCCGATCACGTAGCGGAGGTCGCCGTGCCACTTGACGAAGGTGTGACGCTTCTGTAGCTGCTGGAAGCCGAGCCCGCTTCGCTCGACGTCGCTGTGGTCCCGACGGAGTCGTCCCTGCCTTCAATGCTCGCGGCCGGCAACGTATCCTCTGTTCCGCCGCCGCAAACCTGCCCGGACACACAAGAAACATCAACACCAGCCCAACCGAGGCACGCACCGGTGAGGTCAAGCGCGGCGAAGACAGCGTGCAGGCGTACGTGAACAGGATGCTCAAGCGCGTCGCCGAGCCGGCAGGAGCCACCCCTGACCTGACCTCGCACTCCTTCCGGCGTGGCGGGGCCCAGCATGCGAACGGAGATGACCGCCTCGCCGCCCAGTGGATCTTTGATCGCGGTGCTTGGGATATGACCGCACGCGAGGATAGGAAGGTGGCCCGGGTCTTAAGTGGGTGAGCGGCAGACGACGTTCCAGCGGTCATCGACGTCGCGACGCTAGATCACGCCAGTCAAGAACGCCTCGGCCGATTGCAGGGCTTCCTGTTCAATTCCTGTACAGGTGTCAAGCAACATCGTCTAAATGTAAGCACCAAGGTCCTCACTGTCCTCACTGCGTACCTGGTTCGTTACTACCCGCAGCTTAAGGAGCTCGCACCCGCGGCCCCCATTGTCACGCGCGTGGAAGAGAGCTTGCGTGCTGCAGACATCCCGATTGGCGACATGCTTGCGTGGTCAGTCGCGCTGGACAGCGAAGCCGCTCCGCCTGCTCAAGAACAAACCCAAACACAAGATGCAAGCCAACACCACTGTCCAAGCATCGATCACCTTCTAGCTGTCATTCATGAGCTTATCGCCACAAACAAGGCCCTAGCTGCGCGGTTGACGATTGTCGAGGCGGCTCAGATGAAAGCCAAGGAGCCGCGTAGACCCGCTGAAGAAGACCAAGCAAAGGAATCGTTAGACCAAGAGCCCAAGCCAAAACGGAGCAAGAAGCAAGTTACGCACCTGTCTGCTGCATGGTACGAGTGGTACACCCGTGTTCCTCGTGTGTGTCTGGGACTGCTCTGACCGCCAAAAGAAGTCCGAATCACGCCACGTCGTCGCCTTCATGAACCTGTTCCTCGAAGACGGCTTTACGCTTGACCCCACGGTTGCAGACTACAAGGATCAGGTCTTGGACGCCGGCCGCCGTGCTGAAGATGCCGTGTTGGACTTCCTAAAGTCGCGGAACATCAACGCGAAGGGCGCTGGCAGTGTTTTGCGTGCGCTGCGTCCCCTGCACAAGTGCGGCGTCTTGGACAAACGCATCGCAGCCCACAAGCGTCTCCTCGCTACAGGCCGAATTCAAGACCCCGCATCTGCAGACACACAGGACATATTAGCTTTGGCTCGTCAAGCCTGACCGGCATAGTATCGAGAATTCCCAAACCGCCGAGCGTACACAGTCGAGTAAACCCGAAATCGCCCACAGTCGAGTAAGCCCGAAACTGCTGTTAATGGGAGTAAGCGACACTCGCGAGCCACCGATGAGCGGCAGCTGTCAAAAAGTAGAATGACTAAATAGCATGCTTCTCAACCAATCATTGATGGGTCGTAATTAGTATAGTATGCATTCTGACCAATAGGATTTAAGAAATTTCATCCAATGAAATGTAAGGTACATGTCGAGTTTGTCCGAAACGCGACACTTCGATTCTTGCCAAGATGTAAAGCTCAGATCAGCGGACGAATGCGGAGAAGATCGAGATCCTGCTCGCATGCGAGCGAAATGCATGGGACGCTACCGAGGGGGGTCGTCGTCATGGTGTGGCTCGGACAACCTTGCTGGGTTGGATGACTAACAAGCACAAGTTATTCTCGTCCCAGGCCGATCCATCCGCAAAGCGGGCAGCGCCACCAGGCATGGCCCCTCCGACGCTTCAATACGAGGCTGGTATTGTTGAGCGGATCAAGGCAAAAGTGGCAAACGGCCAGGTTGTGTGCAGAGATGATGTTGTCGCGGATGCTGCGTCGACAATACCTGGCTTTGGGAGCGCAAACCCGCGGCTCAGAGTTCGTGGACTACCCGGTTTATAGGCCGCCACAATCTAAGCACTTTCATCTCACGACGACTACAGAATACCGGCACAGCAGCGCCAAATGTGAATGAACCCCCACCAAGAGACACAAGCGTAACTATCGACTTGAGCCGAAACCCCCCAGCCTCCAGCCAAGTCGACTTTGGCCGAAAAAAACCAGCCTCCAGCCAAGTCGACTTTAGCCGAAAAATCCCAGCCTCCAGTCAAGTCGATTTTGGCCGAAAAATCCTAGCCTCCAGTCAAGTCGACTTTGGCCGAAAATGTAGTGGGCCTACTTTGGCTCACTACTTTAGCTTACACGTGTGCGCGTGTATGTGAGGAAGCGTAGCTTAGTTTAAATTAGAGTTAATTATACTCGGGCCTCCGAGTATAGATTAATCTAAATAAACGATCCAAATAATGTTTTTGGGTTAAAATGAGAACTGCTATTTTTGTTTTATGTTTCTGACTTCCTCTAAGTGTAATATTCTAAGATAGGAATCTGCCAACGGCTGGTTGGCAGAATTCCAATGCTATGCATGTCGCTCATTGGCTAAAAGATGCTGCTTTCAGCCAATAGGAATCCTAAGTCTCGATGAACCACCCGTCGTGGTGATCGTAAATGTATGCAGCCTTTGGTGTGTCTACACCAAAGTCGAGAACGTCTTTCGAACCTCTAACAGACGTCGTGTCTGTTAGAGTTACAAGTGACTGTTGCCACTTGTGCGTGTAACCCTGTTACACCATCCCCCCTTAAGGTTAGACGCGCCGAGTCACGGCACGTCAATCAGGAAATTGACCATTCGTCAATTCTTCACGTTGGGAGAAAGAAAACTCGAGCTCATTCCGCAATGAGCTCGCCGCAGAAGACGACCGCCGCCGCAACAGAGGGTAACCTCTCTGTTGCTCAGTACCA